GAGGAGGAGGAGAGGAGAGGTGGAGGAGGGGGAGGAGCGGAGGAGGATCGGAGGAAGATCAACGCAGTAAGGATAGAACAATAAGGAAAACAGGAGGCTGCTCCAGGGGAAAGGAAGCTGGAGGCCTACCGAGCAGGAGGAGGATGGGAATGATAATGTTGCTATGACATGCGCCAGACTTGGATGCCCCATGCCTCGCGGGTGCTGCCGACGGAACGCCGACCTCAATCCACCAGCTTGCACCACTTGGGCTCCCTGATGCCCCCACAGCGCTTTCTTTTTCTTTCACGCCTCACCTCAGAGGGTGGCGCTTCTAACGCGTGGACCTGGCCTCAGACTGGGGGTGGCACCACCGACGAGTACCATGACATGGGTGCACCATAGCTGCTCCAACGACGCCGTCTGGGGTAGGCGAGCCCAGAACCGAATCGAGAAATCGGATCGGCGATCGAAATGAATCGGACCGGCGGAAACCGGCAGCCCAGTCGGGAGAAATGCCCGGAGCCCAGGCGAGCGAGAGCGTCTTCCAGTGGCCAGGGGCGATTCTCCCTGCAGGTGGCGCGCCTGGCCGGACTCCGCTGGCCTCAGCAGCGGCCCCGCGGGCTCGGCCTCGACAGACAGAAGCGGGGCGCTGAGCAGACGCCGCCGCACCGGCGTCGACGCCGCCCCTCCACGGGCCGCTGCGGTGCGCTGAAACGGGCCCTCCCCGATCCACCCGCACCTCACGGGCGCGGCCGGACAGATCCCCGGCAGGCCATCCCCTTCTGTGACGTCATCCTCGCCTTTCGAGCTCCCCTCCGGCCGCAGACATACGCATTGGGGCGAGGCGAGGGGAGCGTCAGAGAAGGGGATGGTTTGCTAGGGCTGCTAGGGGTCGGTTAAGCCGCCCCTGAACCTCCCTCCCTCCTTTCCCCCGGATGGGTTTGGCACGGGCGTTGACCTGAAGGGCGTCGCCGGTCGTGTTTTGTTCCGCAACGGGCACAGAGATCCGATGCCCCGATGTTTTCAACACGGGGTCCCTGGAAATCTCAACCGCTCACCAGGGACCAGCTGTTCATCCTGAGTTGCTTCTGACGGTCACGGGGCCCAGCGAAGGCCCCCAGAGGCCACAGCGAAAGACCTCTCCTGGGCCATCTTAAAGCCCACTTGGATCCCACGGCTCGCCACCCCTCCCTACCCCTTCGTCCTGGAGATCGTTTTTTATTTCTCGACGCCAACCTGGGCTATCCGACGAGGTAGGGAGGGGGGAGGGGCGGGGTGCCGGGCGACAACCCAACCGTTCCACTCTGGGATGCCCCACGCATGCCCGCGCACCCCTAGATTGCGCACCCCTTTCGGGCCTGCGCAGCCGACAAAGGCAGGGTATCTGGGGGGAGGGGAGCGGGCGGGATAACCGGGCTTATCGCCTGACCCAGAGACAAATGCCTCCTGCGGCGACGGGCACGGCGAACTCGACCACGACGACGACGATCTCGACGACGATATCGACGACGACGATATCGACGCCGAGACCGCGACAACGACGGCGACATCGACGACGACGACGATGACGACGACGAGAACACCGGAGCGCCCGACGGCGACGGCGCGCCTGCAGGCCGCCAAGGTCGCCGGGGGGGCGCACGCTGCTGCTGGACGGGGAGGGCGGGTGGGAGCGCAGGGAGGCCAGCCAGGCGCTGATGTCGTCCTTTCGCGGGGGCGCCGTTTCGCTGGCGCGGTGACGTGGTGGTCGTGGTCGTCGTGGTCGTCGTGGTCGTCGTGGTCGTCGTCGTCGTCGTCGTCGAGTTCGTTTTCGTCGCCGTCGCCGCCGTCGAAGAGAAGGGGGGAGGAGAAATGCGGGTCAAACAAGTCGCCATGTCCCAAGAAATCGCGCCGTGGCTTGCCTGAGAACGGAGGAGGAAGAAGAGAAAGAGGAGGAGGAACCATAAACATGGGAAGACGACGAGGAGGAGGAGGAGGAGGAGGAGGCTAAACGCAAAAGTGGCCTGAACCCGAACGGAACGAATATGAGTGGAACAGAACGGAATGCGGCACGGTGGAACGGTGGCCCAGCCAGGAGCCGACGTCGTCCCCGCAGGGGCGCGCGCTCGAAAAGCGGACCGAGGGCTCAGGCTTTGGGAGCTCTTGACACCACTGGGCCCCTGGGCGCGACCGGGGGCCTCCCGAGACCGCGGGAGACCTCCGCGGGCCCCAGGGGAATCCTCGCCGTCGTCCTCGCCGTCGCCGCGGAAGACGGGAGGGAGGCGAGCAGGAGGAGGGAGGAGAGGAAGGAAAGGGAGAGGAAAGGAGGAAGGAGAGGAGGGAGGAGAGGAGGGAGGAGAGGAGAAAAAAGAGGAAATGAGGAGGAGGAGGAGGAGGAGGAAGGAGAAGAGGAAGGAGAGGAGGAGAGGAAGGAGGAGAAGAGGAAGGAGCGGAAGAAAAGGAGGAGGACAGGAGGAAGGACAACGAGAAGGAGAAGGAGGGAGTAGAGGAGGAAGAGGATCGAAGAGGGAGGGGGAAAAAAAGGGGTTCGGGTTCGGCGCGTGGGGGCGAGTCCGAACGGCAGCCCCCGAAACCGAGCAAAAACGCGCGAACTGCGGAGTGCCAACCGCGAACACATAGGGGCGCGGGCCCTGCCCTCGCAGCGGCCTGCACGAGGCGCCCCCCCCTTCTGGGGCCTGCGGCCGGCCCGCAGCATAGAAGGACGCGCGATAGAGCCATCGGCCTGACCTAAGGAGCGATAAGCAAGGAACGAAGCCCCTTTTTTTTCCAGGGCATAACGCACAAGGAGCGATGAATCATAAATAACGCAGAAGGAACGAGAACTAACGCATGCAGACCCAAGGAACGGCCGAGCCCCTTTTGAAAAGTAAGTGTTCCTTATTCGAGCCGCGCACTGTAGGGATGCAGGGGCCTCGGAGGGCCATGCCGAAGCTCTCCGGGCGGGGCGCGGCCAACGAGAGTGGCCAAGGAGGGGCCGAGAAGGCAGGGATGCAAGGGTACCCTCGGCAAGGTTGCCCATCCGTACTACGCAGGTTGACTGCAATGACAGGGTAAGAAAACAAACAAAACAAACAAAGACAAACAAAGACAAACAACAACAACAACAACAATCACTTTACCCGAACGCTCAGTGTTCTCACCAGTGCCAGGGTTTTCATGCGACGCCAGCCAATACCCCCACTTTGTGGGGGGGCAGTGCAAGCTCTACCAAATATCCACACGACTCTTCGCCACCACCCACACCCAGCTTCCCGCCCTATGACGTTCGGACACTTCACTTCGTGGCCTGCGGACGACCGTGGCTACTACACTGGCGTGGAGTACACACCCACAGAAGTTGTTAAGCCTACGTTCGTACACCCACAGAAGTTGTTAAGCCTTGTTAACCCACAGAAGTTGTTAAGCCTTCCACAGAACATCTGTTGCATATGATGCATATGGTACATGATACACATGATACACATGATACGTACTCACAAGATAGTTGATCACATCTTTAGGGCAAATTCCTGAGGGATGTGGGAATACACAAGAGAGAGAGGATATGGTTGTCCCGATGGTTGTCTCGATGGTTGTCCCGATGGTTGTCCTGATGGTTGTGGTTGTCCCGATCGTTGTCCCGATGATTGTCCCGATGGTTGTCCTGATGGTTGTGCTTGTCCCGATCGTTGTCCCGATGACTGTCCCGATGATTGTCCCGATGGTTGTCCCGATGGTTGTTCCGATGGTTGTCCCGATGGTTGTCCCGATGGTTGTGAGCGATGCCGGATCCTCACGCCCCCCGCCGGTGTTTTTCGAGGACCTACGGTGCGATTCGTGTGATTTTATGATGCGCGGTGCTAAAATTCTTAAGAAGCCCAATGGTTTTTGGAGATTTCGGCGTGCGCGCGCGAAGAAAAAACGAATGTGTCCCGCATGGTATTATTTGACAGGGATGATGGCCCTGGCAGGTGCGCAACCGTTGTCGCAGAAGTTCGAAAAAGTTGCTCGCAAAAGCCCGTTTGACAGAAATGTTTAAAAAGTGTTGGGTTTCCTACGAATCCGCAAGAGCGCGCGGGATGAGATTTTGACAATTTTTTTGTTGAAAAACCATTGGTTTTTTGATGTTTTTATGTTAAAATCGCTGCGAACACTAAGGTTTTGGAAGGATTTCGTCTTGCGCGCGCGAATGTCCACTTTACCTTATTTTTTGCAAGGGATTCTTGAAATTTGATTATATTAGAACAAGAAATGTCATTTTCTATTGTTTTTTGCAAGGGAAAGCGGATTACAACAAAACAACCGGATCCTGTACACACCCTCTTTCTGAGGCTTCCTCACGAAAATGATGAAAATGTAGCTGCGGCCTAGGCGGCGCAGGGGGGCGCGCACCAGGGGGCCCAACAATAATTATTCTTTAGAATAAATAATGTTCAACAACAACAACAACAACAACAACAACAACAACAACAACAACAACAACAACAACAATCATCTTAAGACTGATCGCTCTTATATGCGCGCGCGTCACTCAATATGTAAATCCCAAACCCTCGATACCCACCCTCTTCGTCTTCGGTCATACCCCTTTGGGGGTATATCTTTTTTACTCGCCACGTGTAGTTGGCGCAGCCCCTAAAACAGGAAGAGCAGGGGGAAGGAGGAAGGGAGAGCGAGGAGGAAAAGAGTGGGGGGAGGGAGGGAGGAGGGATCAAGAAGAATTATTCTTCAGTATTGAGAGTTCAGCAGGGCTCAGTTGTGAGGGAGGTCCCAAGCGGGAGCGCCGCTCCCGGAGTAATGCGCGAGGAAGTCTCAGGCGGGAGCGCCTCCGCCTGAGTAAACTGCGAGGAAGTCCCAGGCGGGGGCGGGGGTCCTGAGTAAATGTGGAGGAAGTATCAGGCGGGAGCCGTTGTTGTTGTAGTCCGGGGGGCCAACAACACAGTTTGATGCTCAGTTGTGAGGGAGGTCCCAGGCGGGAGCGCCGCTCCCGGAGTAATTTGCGAGGAAGTCTCAGGCGGGAGCGCCTCCGCCTGAGTAAACTGCGAGGAAGTCCCAAGCGGGGGCGGGGGTCCGGAATAATTTGCGAGGAAGTCTCAAGCGGGAGCGACTCCGCCTGAGTAAACTGCGAGGAAGTCCCAGGCGGGGGCGGGGGTCCTGAGTAAATTTGGAGGAAGTATCAGGCGGGAGCCGTTGTTGTTGTTGTCCGGGGGGCCAACAACGCAGTTTGATGCCCACGACTTTCCCTGATAAAAAACAGGGTGCGAGCCCCGGAAGGGGCACTTCAATTGAAAAAATACAATGTCCGCCGGAGGGAGGGGATCAACAATAACTATTCTTCAGTAGTTAGAGTTCAACAACAACAACAATAACAATAACAACAACAACAACAACAATAACAACAACAACAACAACAATTACTAGCACGTGGGGACACTCCGTTCTCACCAGTGCCAGGGTTTTCATACGACGCCCGCCAATACCCCCACTTTGTGGGGGGGCCGGTTCAAACTCTACCACATTTCCAAACGACTCTTCGCCACCACCCACACCCAGCTTCCCGCCCTATGACGTTCGGACACTTCACTTCGTGGCCTGCGGACGGCCGTGGCTACTACACTGGCGCGTGGCTACTACACTGGCGCATGGCGTGCGGGTAGAAATTTTGAAAATTCGTACAAATGTTTTTCGAGGACCTACGGTGCGATTCGTATGATTTTATGTTGCGCGGTGTTAAAATTCCTAAGAAACCCAATGGTTTTTGGAGATTTCGGCGTGCGCGCGCGAAGAAAAAACGATTGTCCCGCATGGTATTATTTGACAGGGATGATGGCCCTGGCAGGTGCGCAACCGTTGTCGCAGAAGTTCGAAAAAGTTGCTCGCAAAAGCCCGTTTGACAGAAATGTTTAAAAAGTGTTGGGTTTCCTACGAATCCGCAAGAGCGCGCGGGATGAAATTTTGGCATTTTTGAAAAAATAAAAAAAAAAACATTGGTTTTTTGATGTTTTTATGTTAAAATCGCTACGAACACTAAGGTTTTGGAAGGATTTCGTCTTGCGCGCGCGAATGTCCACTTTACCTTGTTTTTTGCAAGGGATTCTTGAAGTTTGGTTATGTTAGAACAAGAAATGTCCACTTTGCCTTTTTTTTGCAAAGGAAAACCGCCCGTAACAAAACAACCGGATCCGGACCAACCCGTTTTGCCGGAGACTTCCTCACGAAAATGATGAAAACATGGTTGCGGCCTAGGCGCGGCGAGGGGGCCGTGCACCAGGGGCCCCAACAAAAATTATTATTTAGAAGTAATAATGTTCAACAACAACAACAACAACAACAACAACAACAACAACAACAACAACAACAATTACTAGCACGTGGGGACACTCCGTTCTCACCAGTGCCAGGGTTTTCATAGGAGGCGGGCAATACCCCCACTTTGTGGGGGGGCCGGTTCAAGCTCTACCAAATTTCCAAACGACTCTTCGCCACCACCCACACCCAGCTTCCCGCCCTATGACGTTCGGACACTTCACTTCGTGCATGCGGACGACCGTGGCTACTATTCAGGGCCCCGCGGCCGACGACGACGGCGTGCGCGCGCGAAGAAAAAACGAATGTGTCCCGCATGGTATTATTTGACAGGGCTGATGGCCCTGGCAGGTGCGCAACCGTTGTTGCAGAAGTTCGAAAAAGTTGCTCGCAAAAGCCCGTTTGACAGAAATGTTTAAAAAGTGTTGGGTTTCCTACGAATCCGCAAGAGCGCGCGGGATGAAATTTTGACATTAAAAAAAAAACAAAAAACAAAAAACATTGTTTGTTTGATGTTTTTATGTTAAAATCGCTACGAAAACTAAGGTTTTGGAAGGATTTCGTCTTGCGCGCGCGAATGTCCACTTTACCTTATTTTTTTTTTTTTCTTATTTTTTTTGCAAAGGGATTCTTGAAGTTTGTTTAGTTAAACAAGAAAATTCACTTTAGCTTAATTTTTTGCAAGGGAAAGCGGGCGTAACCAAACATCCGGGACCAACCAGTTTTGCCTGAGACTTCCTCACGAAAATGATGAAAATGTGGCTGCGGCCTAGGCGCGGCGGGGGGGTCGTGCACCAGGGGCCCCAACAATAATTATTCTTTAGAAGTAATAATGTTCAACAACAAACGAAGGGAGGCCCGCTGCAGGAGGCCCGCTGAGAGCCCCGCTCGAGACAGCGCGATGGGGAGGGGCGCACCCCCCGGCCGCCCTCGGGGGCGAGGGGGCTCCTCCAAGCAAGGGGGGAGAAAACGACCAGCGACTACTCTCTCGGGGGAAAGGGGGGGGGGAGGGGTGCCGCCGCCTCGAGTTTCATTCCGTTGGGCGGCAGCGGGGGCGGCGAGGGGCCCGCGCGCGAGTCGGCGCTCGTCCTCTGCCTGGCCTCCCCCTTCCCCGCCGCTCCCCACTTCTGGGCCCGCGCCCGGCGCCTATCCCCCCGCGCCCAAGGCAAAGGGGGAAAGCGAGCGGGCAGGGGGGCCAAGGGAGGAGACGCGACGGGAGGGAGCAAGGAAGACGAAGGGGGGACGCAGAGTCACTGCCACGGACTAGAAGCAACGCGGGGGGAAGAGAGGAAGGGGGCAGACAGCCGACAGACAGGACACGACAGGGTGGAAGAAAAACGCCTGTTGCCTCCGCGTTAACCGGAAATTCCAAAGCACAACGTCTGCGGTTTTGCTTAGTTTGAACAAAAACGTGTCTCAAATCTCGTGGTGGGTGTCGGCGGGGTGTGGTCTGGAGGCCGCATGGTGAGGTGGGGTTCTGGCATCGCGCCAAGGCTGTTTGCGCCGCAGTCAGTTTCCGCGGGCGAATCTCTCTCTCTCTCTATATCTATCTATCTATCTATCTCTCTATTGTTTCTCTCTCTCTCACTCTCTCTCTTTTTCTCCCTTTGTTGATTGTCTGCGCTGTTATTCTCTCAGACTCGTCTCTTCTCACTTGGCGGGAAACCATGGGCCGAATTTCGCGCTGATCTTCGGTGGGAAAACGTCTTCCAGCCTGGGCGGCACGGGCCCCTTCTTGTTTTGCTCCGCCATGGACATCGGGACGCCGAACATCACCAATTTCGCCTCGTCTAATCCAACCCATCTGCCATGGACCCACGCACTTGGGCCATCTGCCTTCCGCTCTGGCCCCCCCCCAGCCTGCCAGGTGCAGGTCGGCTGGCGGCGCAGCGGCCCCCATGCGATAGCTCGCGGGCTGCGCGCCGCGGTCGTTCCGAAAGCTTCACCTGTCGGCCCCCGCCCGTACGGAATCCGAGTGGAGGGGTCGCCTACCTCGCACTCTGGTTGCTTGTCCTCCTCATCGCACAGATTGGATTCCGTGACGTTCTCGCCCGCCTGGTTGGTGAAGTGGGTTTACTTGTTCGGCATATGCGCCCCCTTGTACCCGCCCACGTTGTTGTAGAGGAGGCTTTTGATCTTGGATAGCTCCGCGACGACATCTTCGGTAGTCATCCGCTGGTCTTCGAGCGCGAGCAAGCTCTCTGCTGTCGCCATGACGGTTCCGCTGCTTGAGATGCATGCGGCCTGGCCCTCGCGATGATCAGCCAGAGCCATTGGCGATGGTTTCTCGTGTGATTGATCTGGCTCGCGAAGCATCCTTGGAGCTGCTTTCACGTCTTACTTCAGCCCGCGCTGTTTTCGTTCGCGGCGTCGAGCACGCGCCCGACGTCACACCATCCTCTGCAAAACACACTATGCGCGCACATTCGTTTATCAAAAACTACAAAATGCCAACATACATACATACAGACACCCGCATCGCGCCGAAGCACGTTCCTGGCCGGAGTGGGTGGAAAGCGCCGCAGCGTTCATAATCCTTTGCAACGAATGAGACGCAGAGCACACGCGCGCGTCGTCGCGCGCGCATGCCAGAAAGTTTCAAATGCCATCGGACTCGCGGGGGCTGCAACATCGAACGCCCGGGAAACGCATTCCAAACACATGGTTTTGCAACGTGACTTTTCAAAACAAGGTTGCGCGCGTGCTCTTGCGAATTTGTGCGAAAACAAAAACTGTTTCAACTCTCGCGGGCGCGCGTCGGAATGATTCGAGCGCTTTCGCGCGCGCGCTGGGGGGCACAATGTTTTTCAAATAACACCATGCGTGCCACTCACTCCCGTCGGTCGTGCGCGCACGTTGAAATCTTTCCAAAACGTTCATCACCGACACGTAGGCACCGTCATCGTCGCCGGCGTGATCAACAGCGGCGCCGTCATTGGCCGTGCGTTGCCACCGTCACCGTCGTCGCCAGCATCGCTTAACATCGTCACCAACACCGCTACTATCATCATCGTGTCTGCTGTTGTCGACGTTTCCACAATACCGCGCCAGCCCAAATCACCGATTCGCACTTGAGTGCCCGCGCGTCAGCGGCCGCGTCAATCGCGCCAGATCAGGCCGCTCTGCGCGCGAGCATGCGCGTACTTTCGCGGCCGCAACGATGCGCCAGCCAGCGCCGCGCAGTCCTCGCAATCGTCGCCGCATGGATTTTGCAAACCAAGTTGCAAGTGGGCGGGCGGGGCGATTGCGAGAACAGCGGAGTTCACAGTTCAGTGCGGAAAGAAAGTCATTGCACCGCATAAATTGCAACACGTAGATTCTCCTTCCTTTAAAAAATTAGGATACCCCCCTCCCGGGAGTGAGCGGTACACCTTTTCGCATTGCAATTTATTAATGAATGTGCCTCACTGTCCATCCCAACTCTGTGTCCGCATCATCCCAGCTAAACTGGTATCGGCCCCCCTTTTCTGCAAGCGATACTATGCGCGCACTGGCGTATCACAAATCATGAGTTCCGAAGAACCCCTTGCAACAAACATAGAGCGCACACGCGCGCGTCGTCGCGCGCGAATTCCGAAATATTTCAAACAACTTGGGTTCCGTACGGAATTCAAAGCCGAATGTCCAAAACAAACACATCGAAGCACATGGATTCGCAACAAATATGGTCCAAAATAGCTTACAATCGCATTCCAGCGGATTATGAAAAAAACCGTCGGCTGTTCAACACGACCATATAATGCTGCCGAACGGGTTTCGCGCGCGCATGCCGAAATTGTTCGAGCGCCTTTGCGCGCGTGCTGTCGCAAGAAGCCTCGGCAAAAAATGGAACGAAATGCGCACGCGCGCGTCGTCGGGCGCGCATACCGAAATCCTTCACAAACCTACAATTCCCTAGGGTTTTCAAAACCGAATGTCCCGAAAACAGACTTACAACAAATGGTTTCGCAACGACAACTGTCAACACAAGCTTCGCTCGCGCTTTGGCGAATCACTGAAACAACCATACAATTCCCAACATTATCCTGGGATCCTGCCGAACGGGTCTTTCGCGCCGCATGCCAGAATCATTCAAACGCCCTTGCGCGCGCGGCGGGGGGGGACACGATCCGTGTCAAATAACACCATGGGGGCCACTCTCGCGCGTCGGCCGCGAGCGCATGTCGAACTCTCACCAAAACCTTTGATCACCGACGCGGGGACGTCGTCATCGTCGTCGGCGTGATGAGCAGCGGCGCCGTCACTGGCCTTGCCGTCGTCGTTGTCAACATCGCCACGGCATCGCTACTGTCATCATCGTCTCAACCGTTGTCGACGTTGCAATGATACCGCGCCCAACCCAGTCGCCGACTCGCACTGAAGTGACCCCTGGGATGTGCCCAGCGGTCAGCGCCACCGCGGCCGCGTCGGTCGTGCCAAATTAGCTGGCAGCTTTGCGCGCGCGTGCATGCGCGGGCTGGCGCGGCCGCAAAGATGCACTAGCCAACACCAAGCAGTCATCGCAATCGCCTCCGCCTGGGTTTTGCAAACCAAGTTGCGGGTGGGTGGGTGGGATGATTGCGCGGGCAGTGGAGTTGACAACCTCAAGTTGAGTATTGGTGAATGTTACCACGTAGATTGCTCCACGTATATTGCAGTACCTAGATTGCACGTCTTGTTCGCGCCTGCGGCGCGCTCGCTGATCGCTCCCAATATCGATGGCGCCACATGGATGGCACAAGTCGGATTACACAACACAGGAAGAGTTGTGTCTGCATGTACGTACATGCATATAAAGATACATTAACTGAAACCAAACAAACACATACATACATACATACATACATACATACATACATACATACATACATACATACATACACTGATACATACATACAGACTCCAGATTTCGTAATAAAGGGAGGGGGGTCTCATTTCGGGGGGGGTCTCTTCCTGGCTATCTTGGAGGGCCTGGGGGGGTCTGGGGACGATGTTTTGGAAGGTTCTCCCACGGGGGAGGTCTGAAATGGCTTGTCTTGGAGGGTCCAAACCCCCTCCCTTTTATTACGAAATCTGGAGTACATACGTACATGCTGCACACAATGAACTGAATACCATAGATTGCACCACGTAGATTGCACTACATTTGCTGCACAACATACATAGCAAAACGTACATTGCACAGCGTAGATTGCCCAACATGGGTTGTTTGAAACATATTGTTTAGGGCCCACGCTGGCCAACATTCTAGACCTCAGTACAATTAGTGGCAGTCATAATAAGAAACTCATGTATCAAAACCAACAAGCGACGATCTCGGGTCGCCTTCGCCGCCGCCGTCGCCGATCGACGACGCCGCCACCGCGATGGCCGCCGCGGCCGCGATGAAGGCGCGCGGGGACGGTGTCCTCCCGGGCGGCCACCGCGGGGGGCCCAGCGGCGGCCTGGCGGGCACCGGCTCGTCGCAGTCGTTAACCGCCGTGGCTGCTAGTCGTCGTCACTCGTCGCTTGTCGTCGCTCGTCGTCGTCGTGGTCATCTTCTTCGTCGTCGTCACTCGTCGTCCTGGACCGAGGCTCTCTGGTTTGTTTCTTCCCCTTGTCCCTTCTTCCATCCTCCTCCCTCCACCTTGTCCCTTCTATCCGTCCTCTCTTCCACTGCCTTAGGGGCTGCACGAAATACACGCTGCAGGTAAGAAAGAGAGAGAGAGAGAATATAAATATATATATATATATATACATCCCCAAGGGGGTAACGATCGAACACGAAGAGGGCGGGTATCGAAGGTTTGGGATCTACGTGTTGAATGGCCAGCGAGCAGACACGAGCGAACAGTCTTAAAATGATTGTTGATATTGTCAGTCAGGGCCCAACAACGCAGTTTAGTGACACGACGACGACGACGACGACGACGGAGAACAACAATCACGACGACGGACGACGGCGACAACCGTAATCCCCTCAAAACCTGTCCCTGGAATCATCCCGAGGTCCACCATGTGCCGTTTTTCGTCCCGGATCGGTTCCTGACGGCCCCGCGGCCCGAAACGAGACCCCAGCGGACGACAATTTGGAACACCTGCTCGAGCCTCGACGAAGGCGACGGCAGCGACGACGAAGACCCCTCGGTGCCTTGCTCTGCTTTCTCGGCGGCTTCGCCGCGACGTGGAACTCCCGGACCTGCGGCGGGGCGGAGGTGCTCTCGAGACCAGAAGGCGGCCCCCCGGGGAGGAGCGCGCGCACGAGGGCTAGCTCGGGCATGTCCTCCTATACAGGCGGATGTTGGGAGAAAAATCAGTAATAGTCCACAGTAAACAAAATATGAGAAGTACTCGGAACATTGCCCCAAGACTATATTTGAAACTATGTTTGAATACTTCTCCTGTAGAGGGACATGCCCGACTTAACACGAGGGCGCCCTGGGATGACGGCCAGGAGGGGGCCCTGAGGACGCTGGTGATACGAACCTTTCCAGTGGTCCCTCGCCGGGCGGGGCCCAGCGCGGAGGGGAGGGGGGGGAGGGGAGAGCCCCACGCATCAGGCGGCGAAGCCCCGACGAACAAGGGCCCAAAGGCCCACGCCTGGCAAGAGGCGAAGGGCGAGCGGGGGGGGATGATGAGGGAGGAGGCTCCTCCCCTTCCCCCTTCCCCATCCTTCCTTCCCCTCCTCCTCCTCCTCCTCCTCCTCGTCCTCCTCCTCCTCCTCCTCCTCCTCCTCCTCCTCCTCCTCCCCTTAATCCTCCTCCTCTTCCTTCTGCTCCTCGCAGGGGAGAGGAGGAAGAGGTGTTCTCAAGTTGTGTCCTCTCCTCCTCCTCCTCATCGTCCTCCTCCTCTTCCTCCTCCTCCTCCTCCTCCGCCTCCTCCTCCTCTTCCCCCTGCTCCTCGCAGGGGGGAGAGGAAGAGGTGTCCCCGAGTTGTGTCCTCTCCGCCTCCGCCTCCGCCTCCTCCTCCTCTTCCTCCTCCTCCTCCTCCTCCTCCTCGTCCTCCTCCTCCAACTCCCTCCCTCCTGGAGGAGGAGGAGGAGGAGGAGGAGGAGGAGGAAGAAGAAGAAGAAGAAGAAGAAGGAGCAAGAGGAGGAGGAGGAAGGAGGAGCAGGAGGTGGAGGACGAGGGGGAGGAGGAAGGACGAGAAGGACGAGCAGAGCAGGAAGGGTAGGATGATCGGGGATCGAGGTGTTGGACGTTTGCAGGGCTTTTTGGTAACAGAATCCGCCTTCTCCTCCTCCTCCTTCTCCTCCTCCTCGCCCTCCTCTTGAAGACCTCTGAGGTCCTTCGGGAGCCTCTGGAGACCTCCGGGGACGCGGAGATTGACGGGCTGGCCGGAGTGCCTTCTCGTCATTTCTCCCTGCTTCCACCAAGGTTTATAATCCCTCATGGCCTCCTGCCAAAAGTTGGGGCCTGAGCAGAGGGGGCTCGAGGACAGCACCGCATCGCCAACGCATCCACGGATGCATCGGCGATGCGGCGCGATCCTCCGACCCTATCTGCGCGGACCCAATCCGGGCGGCCCAGATCCTCTCGCGACGTGCGCTGCTGTTGCTGCTGCCAGGCAGAGGGTTACAGAATGCGCGCGCGAAGCCCCTTCACGAACGGACAAACACCCAGCCCTCCTCTCTCACCCCAGCCCCTTCCCCCGCTTTTCCTCGTCACCCTCCTACTCTCCCTCGAGCGCGCGCTGGGGGGCGGGGGGGAGGGGACGAGAAGGGGAGGAGGAAGAGGAGATACGGAGAGCGAAGCGATACAGGACGAGAGCAGGGAGTAGCACGAGGAGAGCGAGGGGAGATGGGGAGGCGTGGAGACGCCGCCGAGGACCAATACTTACGACGACGACGACGATGGTCACAACAGGGAAGACCAAGACCAAGACCAAGACCACAGCAACGAGGACGGTCACGATTACGACCAAGACCACGGCGACGACGACGACGACACGACCCACGACCACGACCACAACCACGACCACGATGACGACGACAACGGCCACGACGACGACGACCACCACCACCGCGACGACGGCGACGACGACCATGAAGTTGGCGGAGAACTGCGCGTGCGTCACGGAGCCGCGGTTCTCCTCCGTCCGCGCGGCGCGAAAGCGAGGGGGGCGCCCCCCCGCCCGCCACCCTGCTGGCCCCGCCGAGGGCCACAGCTGCCAGGGCGAGCCCGGGCGGGCCGCAGGGGAGGGGCAAGGATACCGCGGGCACGTCCAGGCAGGAACCGGTCTGCCTTGAAGGGGCCCTGGGACACACAAATAAATACACACCAATAAAAAATATTCCCCATATTTTCCCATATTTTCTGGGTTTTTGTCTTCCCCCCCACTTCCCATATGTTCAATTTTTTTATCGGGAATCGAGGATTAACTGTGTCTGTGTGTTTTTCCTCCTCCTGATGTCTGCAGTTGCCCCCCGAACACGTCTTGTCCCCCGAGGGCCCTGGGGGCCCACCCAAGGCCTGGGGCACCTACAGGAAGCTCTCAAGCCTCGGCGAGGAGTGCGCCCAGAGCTTTCTTGCAGCGGGATTTCGTATCATTTCTTGTCACAGCTTCTATGTTATAGTCAACTCGCCTCATAAGGACGCACGGTAAGGATGCAAGGGCTTTGGAAGGCCATGTCGGCACTTGCCGAGCGGGGCGCGGTCAACGAAAGTGGCCAAGGATGGACCGAGGAGGCAAGGATGCAAGGGTAACCTTGGGAAGGACATCGAGCCGCAGTCGGCGATACATCGCCTATAGATCCGCGGAAAGTCCCCGATGGCGAAACCGAACGTTCCTGGGCGGGCTGTCTGCTTTCGCCGTCCCAAGTCCTACCTGAATGTATGCTTGTTTGCTGCGACGTTGCGACAATTGTGAGATCAATTTGCGACATTCTGTCTCGCGGAGCGCTACCATAGTGGCATGACGCTCGCGCGCGCGCTGCGCATTCGGCTTGTCACTGCGGTCGCAAGTTACCGAGGGATTCGCTCTACCTGGAGTCCCTGTGAAACGCGCGGATGTGCTCGGCGCCGAGGGTTTAGTGACACTCTGAGATATCGGAAGGAGCCCGATCTGTCGTCGCTTGACTTGGCAAATTCCACCTAGAACCTGCCCCCCCCCGAGGAACCGAGCCCGGAAAACGTGGAGGTGAGGGGGGGGGAGGAACACAGAAGGCCCCCCCCCCTCCCCCGTTCGAACCGGGGAGGCGGGGCCCCCCTGTCCCGAAACCGGAGGGGGGGGAGGGGAGGTCCAGACAACCCCCCCCCCTCTGGTTCAAGCCGGAACGGGGCGGGGGGGATCATCCCCTCTTCGCCTTTGATTCGAACCGATTGAGAGCACTGCTGGAGCGTTGTTGGTGCGTTTACTGGGACTTGTTCGAGTTTTGTGTGTGAGACCTTTGTCGGAGCTTTGTTTGAGCTGTGTTTGAGCTGTGGTTGAGCTTTGGTTGACCTTCGTTTGAGCTTTGTTTGGGCACCTTTGTTTGAGCTTTGCTTGAGCTGCATCTGAGCTTTTGTGTGAGCTTTGTTTGAGCTGTGCTTGAGCTGTGTCTGAGCTTTGGTTGAGCTGTGTTTGAGCTGTGTTTCTGCTTGTTTATGTCAGCTTCACTTAGCTTAGTTTGAGCTCTGGGAGCTCTGGTTGAGCTTTGGTTGAGCTTTAATTGAGCTTTGTTTCGGCTTTGCTGGAGCTTTGGTTGAGCTTTGTTTGGGCGTTGTTAGAGTTTTGTTCGAGTTTTGTGGGAGCTGTGTTGGAGCTTCGTTTGAGCTTTGCTTGAGTTCTATGTGAGCTTTGGTTGACCTTTGTTTGACCTTTGTTTGAGCTTGCTTACTTCAGCTGTGTTTCTGCTTTGGTTGAGCTTTGTGTGAGCTTCGTTTGAGCTTTGTTCGAGCTTTGCTTAAGCTTTGCGTGGGCTTTGCTGGAGCTTTGCGTGGGCTTTCTCTGAGCTGGGCTTTGCTGAAGCTTTGTTTGAGCTTTGTGTGGGGCTGACACTTTGAAACCTTGTGAGACGCGTGGATGTGCTCGCGAGACGCGCGGATGCGCTCGGCGCCGGGAGGCCGTGGAGCATCTCGGAGCAGTCCTTCCTGGACCGCTCGTCGGGCCCTCTCCGGCCGCCTCGGGGCCTTCTTGGGTCGACAGGGAATCCAGGAGTGGCAAGAGGTGCTGGGGGCTGGAAGCTCCCCTGGGAGCCCTCGGAGAGGCCGCGTGGGAGAGTCTCCAGGCGGTTCGAGCACGGAGGGTCCGCCGCCCCGGGCGCGCCCATCGCCGCAGAGTGTCAATCACCCGTTTGGCCCACGGTCGGCTCGACGCGCGTGCAGCGCCCGGGCTGCCTGCACGGGGCTGTCTCGGATGCAGTCAACCTGCATCGTGAGGATGCACGATAAGGATGCCAGGGGGCGTGGGAAGGCCGTTTCGGAGCTTTTCGAGCGGGGCGCGGACAACCAAAGTGGCCGAGGATGGGCCGACGCGGCAAGGCTGCAAGGGTACCCCTGGGAAGGTTGCCCATCCTTGCCATGCGGGTCAACTGATGCAGACACAAATGCCACTTTCTGCAAAGTACACACTTCTACTTCCAGCTTCTTTTGCAGGCCGTATGCGTCCCCCCTTGAACCGATGCCCGCCGGAAGTTGCCCCCGAGAAGGGGAGGATGGGCCCCACTTAGCCACCCTCGACTCGACAGAATCAGATTTTGTTTTTCCCAAACACACACACACAAAATGTCGTCTTCAGCCCTCACGGGGGCCCTCGCGGAGCCCCAAGACAGTCAAACGACGGCTCGGGATGAGAGGCTCGTCAGGGAAGGGGTCTAGACTTCGAAGGTCCACGCTGTGAAAGAGTCACGGCGCTGGACTTCGGCGGGCGAAAGAAATGGTCTGCAACAGGGGGTCTTCAGTGGGGGCTGAATAGCCCGTGTATGCTCAATGTATCGCTCATGTCCGACTTGAAGGGGCCCTGGGACACACAAATAAATACACACAAATTAAAAGATTTCCCATATTTTCCCATATTTTCTGGATTTTTGTCTTCCCCCCCACTTCCCAGATTTCCCCATATTTTATCGGGAATCGACGATCAATTGTGTCTGTGTTTTTTTCCCTCCTGATGAATGGCCCGTGTATGCTCAGTGTATCGCTCATGTCCGACTGCTGGGCAGGGCGGGCCGGGGAGGGCGAGGGGCACGAGGGTGTTCGGTCCCCCGCTGCTGGAGCCGGAGGCGGTCGGTCGAGGAGGAGCACGAGGACGGGGACGCAGGAGGGCGTCGCGGGGGAGGAGGGGCAGGACGTCGGCACAGGATAGGAGGAGCGGAGGGAGGAGGAGGAGAGCGAGTGGAAGGGGGAAGCGAGGAAGAATGCGAGGGGGGGAGGGATGGGAGGGCGAATCGAGGCCTCCTAGATGGGGTCGGAGCAGCTGGGGTCGGAGGATCGCCGCCGCATCGCTGGTGCATCCGTGGATGCGTTGGCGATGCGGTGCGGTCCTCGAACCCCCTCTGCTCAGGCCCCCACTGTGGGCAGGAGGCCATGAGGGATTATAGACCTTGGCCTCCTCCTCCTCCTCCTCCTCCTCCTCCTCCTCCTCCTCCTCCGCCTCCGCCTCCGTCTCCGCCTCCTCCACCTGCCCCTCTTCCTGCTCCTCACCCTCCTCCTCCTCCTCCTCCTCCTCCTCCTCCTCCTCCTCCTCCTCCTCCTCCTCCTCCTCCTCCTCCTCTCGGAACCATCACCATCGTCATCATCAGAATCACCACCATCATCATCATCATCATCATCATCATCATCATCATCATCATCATCATCATCGTCATCATCATCATCATCATCATCAGCATCATCATCATCATCAGCATCAGCATCATCATCATCATCAGCATCAGCATCATCATCATCATCACCACCATCATCATCATCATCATCATCATCATCATCATCATCATCATCATCATCATCATCATCATCATCATCATCATTATCAGCATCATCGTCATCATCGTCATCATCATCATAATCATCATCAGCATCATCATCATCAGCATCATCAGCATCATCAGCATCATCAGCATCATCAGCATCATCAGCATCAGCATCAGCATCATCATCCCAACAATAATAATAATCATCAGCATCATCATCATCACCACCATCATCACCAGTAGCAGCAGCAGCATCATCACTCGCCTCTTCGTCCGGTGGAAGCAGGCAGAAGATTGAATAAACAGAGCAAGGAGCCAAAGCGCAGGACAGCGGGGTGTCCGAGTCCATCTCTGCCCAAAAGATCTTCCGGTCCAGCTCTGGCACCTGGTCGACTCGCCGGCGAGCGAAAAGAAGCCGGCGAGCTGGGAAAGCAGGAACGACGCGATGCCCTCTTGCATCCTTTTCCCTTCGAACAACCCCCCGTCGCCGTCGCACCACCAAACGCGTCGGCAAGACAAGCTGGGCGCTTCTTTTGGAACCGTCTAACCACCTATGGCCCTGGGTTTGATTTGCCCAACCGATAAGCGGATGGAGGGGAAGTTCTCGTCTCAACGTTTCGCGCATTCGTTTTCTCCCCAAACAGTCCTTGCAACACTTAGGGGTTCCTACTTGCGTGAACCATATCGGAGTGATTGCCGCCCGTCGCCGCCATCGCCGCCCGTCGGGGTGATTGCCGCCCGTCGCCGCCTGTGCTGCTCGTCGCCGCCCGTCGCCGTCGCCGCCTGTCGGGGTGATCGCCGCTTGTCGCCGTTCGTGTCGCCCATCGCCGCCCGTCGCCGCCCGTGCCGCCCGTCGTAGTAGTAGCACTAGCAGTAGCAGTAGCAGTAGCAGTAGCAGTAGCAGTAGCAGTAGTAGTAGTAGTAGTAGTAGTAGTAGTAGTAGTAGTAGTAGTAGTAGTAGTAGTAGTAGTAGTAGTAGTAGTAGTAGTAGTAGTAGTAGTAGTAGTAGTAGTAGTAGTAGTAGTAGTAGTAGTAGTAGTAGTAGTAGTAGTAGTAGTAGTAGTAGTAGTAGTAGTAGTAGTAGTAGTAGTAGTAGTAGTAGTAGTAGTAATAGTAGTAGTAGTAGTAGTAGTAGTAGTAGTAGCAGTAGTAGTAGTAGTGGTAGAAGTCGTAGTAGTAGTAGTAGTAGTAGTAGTAGTAGTAGTAGTAGTAGTAGTAGTAGTAGTAGTAGTAGTGGTAGTAGTAGTGGCAGGAGTAGTAGTAGTAGTAGTAGTAGAAGAAGAAGAACCTGCATCACCGACGCGAGGACAGCGTCATCGTCGTCGGCGTGATCAGCATCGGCGCCCGCACTGGCCGCGCCTTCGTCGGTGCGAACATCGTCACCAGCATCGCCACTATCATCATCGTGTCTACCGTAGTCGGCGTTGCCTTGATACCGCGCCCGCCCAAGTCGCCGACTCGCAGTGAAGTGCCCGCTGCGATGCGCCCAGCGGTCAGCGCCACCGCGGCCGCGTCGGTGGCGCCAAACTGGCTGGCCGCTGCGCGCGCGTGCTAGGGTTGGCACGGCCGCAGAGATGCACCAGTCAACGCCAAGCGTGCATCGCAATCGCCACCGCATGAGTTTTGCAAACCAAGTTGCGGGTGGGTAGGTTGGATGTTTGCAAGAGCATGGGATGTGTCAACTCATGGGTAAAGATCATTTGCACCACATATGTTGCACCGCATGGATTGCATTGCATAGGTTGCGGCGCGCAAGTTGCACCACGTAGATTGCCCCGCATAGACTGCAGTGCTTAAGCTACACCGCGTAGATTGCACCACATACATTGCACCATATAGATTGCACTGCATATATTGCATTACATATGTTAAAATCGCATACACCACATAGATTGCATCACATAGGTTGCATCACATACATCGCACCAAATAGATTGCACCGCATAGACTGTAAGAACCTACTGTTTGGGGTCCACGCTGGCTAACACTAAGTTTGCCGATATGTATACGAATGGACATCGGAATGCTTCCAGAATCTGGCCGTCGCCCCAACGTCGCGCGCATTAGTTATAAACGCTTCCGACACTCACAAACGGATAGCAGGCCTGGCTCATCGGCCCAAAGATGAATATGCGCATATAGATGAATACCCTCCGATGGCAAATGTCCACATGGTGTCGAAATGAATGGTCCCCCCCGCTGCAAATACGTCTGAATGTTTTGAAGCAGCCAAGAGCACACCCGCTGAACAAATGTGTGATAAATATTTAAAGGTCTGTTTTGAGAGGTGTCCACGAGATGCCTTTCCCGAGAATATGTCGCATAGAATGAGAGCCGGGGAATTGCACATGTACCCTCGCGGTAGATACTCCCAATGGGTTCTGACAGTGGAATGCGGCATGAAACGTTAATCTAAACATCAATCCCCATGTAGGGAGATGCCCCACACATGCGCGCACCGACGCTTATCTACCTGCTGAGGATACACGTACAACACATCTATAATGAAAGCCCGACATCGCCGAAACGTTATCATTGCCTGCCCACCCCGACGCCCTGGGCGCAGCCGAAATCCCCCCCCCCCCGAAAATCGCGCGTCTATTTCGACGATCGCCCCAGCTGAGTAAATAGTAAATGTTCTCATCGCGTGTCCGCCCAAACGCCCCCCCCACCAGAGATACCCCCGGCCATAAGGCGCCCATCATCTGTCGAGCCAGATGTCTAATCCCCCCCCCCCGACGGTGCCACGTCTACCGCGCGTCATTTACATGCGTGACCTCGCGCGTCTGCCACGCAAGAGTGACCCTGGGCAGGAGTGAGACAAGCGCGTTCCACTCCTGCTCGCAAATGGCCTGGACCTGCCGCGGGGGACTCGCGATCTGTGACAGCGAGGCAGACATGGTCTTTCGGACGTTTGAGAGTACAGCCGGACCAAGGATGCAACAACGCCCTTCAGGACCATGAGACACTCCGCCTGCCAAACTGAAGAACATTCGCTCCCCCTCGCCCTTCCCCCCCACCTCCTCCCCCATCCTCCTCCCCCTCCTCCTCCCCCTCCTCCCCCTCCTCCTCCCTCCTCCCCCCTCCTCCTCCTCCCCCTCCTCCCCCTCCTCCCCCTCATCCTCCTCCTCCTCCTCCTCCCCCTCCTCCCCCTCCTCCACCCCCTCCTCCTCCTCCTCCTCCCTCCCCTCCCTCCTCCTCCTCCTCCTCCTCCTCCTCCCCCTCCTCCTCCTCCTCCTCCTCCCCCTCCTCTCCCCCCTCCCCGCTCCTCCCTCCGCCCGCCCCCCCGTGTTCTACCACGCATCGCGCACCCCCTCGGGGTCCTCGACGCCCGACGGCGTGAGCGCCCATATTGGTGAGGGATGGGAGCGCGGGGGCAGGACGTCAGACGGGACGCGAGCGCACCTGGCTTGCCCCCCTCCCTCGCCGGCCCCCACCCCACACCCCTCCCTCCCCCCCCCTCCCTCCTCCTCCTTCCCCTCCCCCTCCCCCTCCCTCCTCCTCCTTCCCCCCCCCCCTCCCTCCTCCTCCTCCTCCCTCCTCCGCCTCCCCTCCCATGATCCCCCCCCCCCTCGGCGCCCCGCGGCCTCCCAGCCTCCCACCCCCAGCGCTGGCCTTCAGGCGCCGCAGCGCCTCGTCGAACGCCCTGGAGCCCATCTCGTCCTCAGCGGAGGGCGCCCTCTGCCCGCGCGCCTGCCCTCAGAGGAGGATTCGGCACCCATACCGCTACCCTTCCCTCGTTCTCGCCTTCGTCTGGGCCTCCTGGGAGGCCCTCGTCGCCACCGCTGGATTCGCCTCGAAGTTCTGGTCAGCACGCACCCCCGGAGAGGTCTGGGGAGTAGCGGTGTCGCTACCCTTTGGTTTCCCCATGCCCGTCAGTCGGAAGTGGGTAGAAACATGAAGTAGGAGGGCGTTGGAAGTAGATAGGGTTTCCGCCTGCCCCCTACAGATGAAGAAAAAGGGGAAAAGCGCTCGTTGATTGACGTAGGCAGGCGCCCAAAGCAGGTTGGGAATTCAAAATACATACCTTCAACGACCGGCGTATGCCCTCAGATCCAGGCTCCGTGAAGAAAATCACACGACGGGCGCTCCTGCCCAGGACCCTCCTGGAGCGATCGGGCACGGCAAGCGCCGAGGGAAAGGTCGGGCCAACAGCACCAGCAGCGACGTTTGCTCGTGGCATGTTCGCTTGAGTGCCAACTGAAAACGCAAGAATTAGATGATAACTAGTGCCTGCTCATACACAACAAAGTGAGAGCTCGGGCGGAGCAGGACGTAAGGTTGTAGGGGGCTGGGACGGGCTGGGGGTGCCCGTGCTATCCATCCCGTCTGCCTCCTCTCTCTCTCTCTCTCTCTCTGTATCTCTCTCTCTCTCTCTCTCTCTCCGCGGCTCATTTGGGGCTCAACTTTCCTTTGGGGCCTGAGATGCGGGTCCAAAGAACATACACCACCACCACGTCGGTCCCTCCTCCCTCCACTACCCTCTTCTTCGTCTCCTCATTGTGAGCGTTTTCTCAGTCGGCCTTTCGACATTGAGCGAAAAGGGAGGGAGGGTGGGGGGTTCTGGCTCCGGACCTCTGCTTAGTGCGACTGTTTGCAACAGTGCGGCCCATGGAGGAGGGACTCCACCTGCTCGAAGCAGGCGCCAACGGCAGCCACGATCCACTCCATGGAGGGCGGGGGGGGGGGAGGGGGGGGGGGGGGGGAGGGAAGCGAGGGCCCGCCCCCCTCGGCCAGAGAAGGAAGCAGAGAACGACCACGCTCCTGGGGGAGGGTCATGAGCCCGAATCCGCTCAAAATCGATCCCCAGACCCCTCCTGGGGCCCATCCAGCGCAGTTTTTCACCCCGGATCCGCTTTGACGGCCCCAGGGCCCGAGAACTGCCCCCCCGGGGCCGAACAAGGCGAACAAACAGCCTTCTCGAACCCAGATCCTCGAACCTCTCCTCCTGGCCAGAACCAGGGGGGGGAGGGAGGGCGGTGGTGGCGCACACGCTCGGGCCCCGCCGGCGAGGCGCCCGGGCACCCGGGCGGGCCTCCTGCGGGCGGCTCGCTGTGGGAGCCGCCCGGCCTGGCGCGCCGCGGGATCGCCCCTTGTGGCGCCCGCGGCGGGCAAGGCTGCCCCCTGCGCGGCGGCGAGGGGGGCCTTTCTGGGGTCCCGCAACGGTGCGGTGGCAGGCCCGTGCGGTGGCCTCGGAAGCCCCCGAGACCTCACCTTACCAGCCTGGAACAGATCCTTATCCCTAAGATTGGCACGCCAAGAGGCGATGACCGTCTTAGGGATGCGCCCTCAAAAAATAAGGGAATCCCTGAGATTGGCATCGTGATGAGGAGATGCCCAGCATAGGGATAGGGATATGTTCCAGGCTGGTAACTCACCGCGCGGTCCGTCACAGCACGGTCTTGGGCCCCCGGAGGCCCCCGTCGCCCGAGGCGTCCTCGGAGAGCGGCCCGAGTCCCAAAGCCGTGCGGTGGCCCCGAATCCTCACCGAGTCACCGCACGGTGTGGTCACCACCCCGTCTGGGGGACCCCGAGGGACGGGCACGGCCGCGGCCTCTGCCCGGGGGAGACCAAGAGCCGGGGAGACGCAAGACTCGGGCACGGGGGACTCGGGGTGGCCTGACGGGGCCATCACCAAAATGGCGAGACGCAACCTGAAATGCGGCGCGAGCTCCCGCTGCACACGTCCCGCGACAACTGGACCGTCGAAATCCAGGACGCGCTCGTCGAGAAGCGCCGGCAGACCCAAGTTCTGGCTTACTCGAGCCTTACGCTTCCCCGAAAAAGGCAGCGATACCGCCACTCCTCGGACCTCTTCCGCGGCGCGTTCTGACCAGAATATCGAGGCGACTCCAGCGATGAGCCTCCCAGGTAGCGGTATCAGTACCGCTTGCTCCTCTGAGCCCACGCTCGCTCAGAGGCCTCCTAGATGGGGTCCGCGTAGACAAGGCCAAAGAATCACGCCGCATAGGCGATGCATCACCGACACATCGGCGATGCATCGGAGGAGACGTCGGCGGAGCTTCGGCAACGCCAGCGCGAAGAAAATCGGGCTATGCGTCGAGCCGCCTCGCCGATGCATCTGCGATGCGGCGCGATCCTCCGATCCCATCTACTCGGACCCCATCCAGGAGGCCTCGAGCGCTCTCTCTGTCTCTCTCTCTCGTTGTCGCTCTCCTGTCTGCCTCCGCTCTCTCTCTCTCTCTCTCTCTCTGGGGCCCCAGCTCTCTTCAGACCACGTCGGATCTCGGCGCGCACTGCCGCACACTCGCAAGAGCGACCTTTCGCGCTCGGCTGACACTGAGCCGCGGGGTGGCAAACCCTGGGCGCGCAAGCCGCTGCCGCCGCTTCGCGTTGGGGCAATCGGGGAACCCACTGGGGCCCGCATCGAAGGTCACTCCGGCGAAAAATCAATCTTACGACTATGGGGAAACCCGGGTACTGGTACCGTTGCTCCCCAGACCTCTCCTGGGGTGCGTTCAGACCAGGATTTCGAGGCGAATCCAGCGGTGGCGACGAGGGCCGCCGAGGAGGCCCAAACAAAGGGAAAAAAGGCCGAAGGGGAGCGGTATGGGTACCTTTTCCTCCTCCGAGCCTAGTCTCCAGGCGGATTTCGAAGGAAAAATAAAAATAGCCCCGAAAAAATCCAAGAATAGTCAAAAATAATCGAAAAATCGTCACCAGGCTAGTTTTGCTACCATTCTTGAACCATCCTCCTGAAGAGGGACATGCCCGACAAGCCTGGCAAGGCACGAGATGGGCCTGGCCAGGGATCCGGTGCGGGCGCACAGAGAAAGAGGCCCTGCGCACTCTCGGGTCCTCGCACCGGTCCTCGCCGCACTTGCAGAACCAGTCGAAGGCCTCCTCGCGGGCGAAGAGCGAGCCAGCGAGGAGGCGGCTGGCAACTCTCGCCGTCGCTCGGGCGTCCGTCTCCCGTGCATGTTTCGGCGTCGCGCGCGCACTTGCTCGCAGGGTGATCCAAAAGGCTCCCCGATGCTCCTCGCAGAGAAGAAACGTGCACGCGTCCGAGCAGTGCCAAGGCGAGGGCGGCGGCGGGGGGAGACGGAGAGGGCGCCGGCCAGGTGGTGGGCAGAGCTCACGAGCGCGAGGAGGCGGAGGGGGAAGGCGGAGGGGAGCCGGGGGGGGAGCAAGGGCGGGGGGCGGAGGGGGAGGAAGGGAGGAGGGGCGAGGGAGAGGGGGAGGAGCCAAGCTAGGTGCGCTCGCGTCACATCTGGCGTCCTGGCCCTCCCTCCCGTCCCTTACCATGGCGTAGAGATCCTCTCTATTCGCACAGTCGGATGTCGCAGCAGGGCATAGCATTACATGGCAGAGCATGGTGTTGAAGATCAACGCGTAACCTATATAGCATGGCGTGGCGACGTCCCAAAGTGAGGGGGGGGGCTTCTGCGGCCCGAGAAATTTGCGAATCGGCACCGAATGTGTAATTACTTCCGATGTTTGTTTCGGGGAGAGGGGGAGGGGGCATTTCCTAGATTTTGGGGCCTATTGGGCAGGACCGAAAATCATGCCGTGGCATGGCGCTGAAAATAATGACGGCAGCGCTGCAGCGAGAGCACGAATCGGATCGAGCGGAAGTGCGGAAATGAGGCCAGCGCTGCAGCGGGAGCACGATTCGGAACGAGCGGTAGCCCGAAAATGAGGCCAGCGCTTCAGCGACAGCACCTTTTTCCCTACCTAGGCTCTGCCTAGAAGGGTTCTTACTCGGTATGCTTAAAGGACCGGGCAATGTTCCACGCCCCGGGCGGGTCCCCCAGTATCCGCCCCGCGGTTCCCCCAGTTGCGCCCCCTGGGCTCCCCTAGCTTAGCTTAGCTTAGCTTACCTTAGCTTAGCTCAGCTAAGTTTAGCTTAGCTTAGCTGAGCTTAGCTGAGCTTAGCTTAGCATATCTTAACTTAGCTTATATCATATTAGCTTAAATTAGTTTGGCTTACCTCATCGTAGCTTAGCTTAGCTTAGCTTAGCTTAGCTTCGCATAGCTGAGCTTAGCTTAGCCTAGCTTTGCTTATCTCATATTAGTTTAGCTTAGCTTAGCTTGGCTTAGCTTAGCTTAGCCTAGCTTAGCCTAGCTCAGCTTAGCTTAGCATAGCTTAGCTTACCTTAGCTTAGCTTAGCGCAGCATAGCGCAGCGCAGCATTAGCACAGCATAGCATAGCATAGCATAGCCAAGCATATCATAACATATGAGAGAGCGTGATCCACCGCCGCTTTACTGTGGAAAATTGCCTACCTTTTCCTCCGGAGCCCGGGGGTCACCCCCCCCCCCCCCTCCGAAAATCCCTCCCCCCCCCTGCTGGAACCCCTCCCCCCCCCCTCCCCTCCTCCCGGCAAAAAACCCCCCCCCTCCCCTCCCCCCCCCCCCCCCCTCGAAAACCGGGAGGGGTCACTACCATTCGAACCCCCCCCCCCCCCTCCGGATCCGGAAAACCGGGGGGGGTCACTACCGGTTGGAACCCCCCCCCCCTCGAAAACCGGAGGGGGTCACTACCGGTTCGACCCCCCCCCCACGCACCGCCAGCAAACGACTCCCGGTCCCTACCACCGCTCGCATCACATCCCCCACTGTTGTTCCCAGCACCACTGTCCTCACCACCACTGTCCCCACTGGTTCCACCACCGTCCCTATTGTCCCCACCAGTGCCCCCACCACTGTCGCACTGTCCCCACTGTTCCCACAACTGTTCCCACCACGGTTCCACTCTCCCCACTGTCTCCACGGACCCAACTACTGCCTATCCCCACTGTCCCCACTGTCCCACTGACTCCTCCGCTGTCCCACTGAGCTGTCCCACTGTTCCCACCACTGTCCCCACTGTCCCCACCACTGTCCCCACTGTACCTCTGTCCCATTGTCCCACCGCCGTCCTCGCCACCGCCTTTACCAGTGTCCCCACCACCATTGTACCCTCCACTGTCCCAGTGTTTCCACCTCATTCCCACTGTCCCCACACCACTGTCCCCACCACCACCGTTCCCACCACTGTCCACTGTCCCCCCTGTTCCCACCATTGTCCCCACCACTGTCCCCACCACTACCGTCCCCACCACTGTCCCACTGTCCCCCCACTGTCCCCACCACTGTCCCGCTGTCCCCTCACCACTGTCCCCACCAACACCGTCCCCACCACTGTCCGCACCCCCACTCGGTTTTCGAGGGGGGGGGGGGGTTCGAACCGGTAGTGACCCCCCCCCCTTTTCATGATGAGCTGGGGGGGGGGGGGGGGGGGAGGGGTTCGAACCGGTAGTGACCCCCCCCGGTTTTCCGGAGGGGGGGGGGGGGGGGGAGGGGTTCGAACCGGTAGTGACCCCCCCCGGTTTTCCGCCAGCAGCGGTAGAACACGCTCTTTCTAACATATCATAGCATAGCATAGCATAACATAGCATAGCATAGCATAGCTCAGCATAGCATAGCATAGCATAGCATCACATAGCATAGCATAGCGCAGCATAGCATATCATAGCATAGATGCAGGTGTAGATGTACATGTAGCTGTCGGTGTAGATGTAGATGTTGCTTTCCTAAATGCTCCAACTCCTAGGTAGGGTCCCACTGGGATATTTTCTTAACAAAAAAGAAAATAGCGAAAACCCGTTTCCAGGGAATCCTGTGTGCAAAAAACAGATACGCGGAGGGGGGCCGACCAGTTCCTGGACGTCACCAGCACTCAGATCGTGCAATTGTAGAAGAGGAGGAGGAGGAGGAGGAGGAGGAGGAGGAGGAGGAGGAGGAGGAGGAGGAAAAGGAGGAGGAGGAGGAGGAGGAGGAGGCGACAGAGAAGGGAGAGGAGGCCGAGCAAGATGAGGAGGGGGGGCCTCTTTTTGCCCGCGGGCAGCCGTCCACGGGCTCGCCGCAGTGTGGCAGGCCCCCCGCAGCCGGCGCCACGAGCGGGGCGCGCCTGGCAGAGCCTCCGAGACTGCGGGGAGGCGCCCCTCCCCGGTGCGTCCGAGGCACGGGCACCAGCACAAACACAGGCTGAAGCAGGCAGCGTGGGCACTGCGGGAAGACCCAGCAGCGGCGTATCCTGGTGACCTGACGAGATCCCAAAGGCGCTCACGAAACCAATGATTACTTGAAGTACGGATCATAATGCCAAAGGGGTTTATTCCCTACCTATGCTCTGCCTAGAAGGGTTCTTACCGTGCAAGCTTAAGGGGCCGGGCAGTGCTCCCCGCCCCGGGCGGTTCCCCCAGGATCTGCCCCGCGGTTCCCCCGGCAACCGGGGTTCCCTACCTAGGCTCTGCCTAGAGGGTTAGCTTAGCTTAGCTTAGCTTAGCTTAGTTTAGCTTATCTCATCTTAGCTTAGCTTAGCCTGGCCTAGCTTAGTTTAGCTTAGCTTAGCTTAGCGTAGCGTAGCCTAGTTTAGCTTAGCTTAGCTTACCTTACCTTAGCTTACCTTAGCTTGGTTTAGCTTTAGCTCAGCTTATCTTATATTGGCGGTGCTTATATCATCTTAGCTTAGCTTACCTTAGCGTAGCTTAGCTTAGCTTAGTTTAGCTTAGCCTAGCTTAGTTTAGCTTAGCCTAGCCTAACCTAGCTTAGCTTAACTTAGCTTAGCTTAGTTTAGCTTATCTCATATTAGCTTAGCTTAGCTTAGCATACCTTAGCTTAGCTTAGCTTAGCTTAGCTTAGCTTAGCTTAGCTTATATCAGATTAGCTTAGTTTAGAGTAGCGTAGTTTAGCCTCGCCTAGCCTAGCCTAGCTTAGCTTAGCTTAGTTTAGTGTAGCTGAGCCTACCTTACCTCAGCTTAGCTTAACTTAGCTTAGTTTAGCTTAACTTATATCGTATTAACTTAGCCTAGTTTAGTTTAGGTTAGTTTAGCTATCTTAGTTTAGCTTAGCTTAGCTTAGTTTATGCTGTTTTCCTAGGGGCTCCAACTCCTAGGTAGGGTCGCACTGGGATAATAACTGAATAGCGTGAAACGGCCTGCACAGCAAACCACGTATGGAAATGCACTGCCCAAAAAGCCCGAACCAGACCACCTGTGACGGAAACTAGCCTTTCACGCGCTCGTGACAATGAAACACCATCCCTTTTTCCAACTCCCCCCGCTCCTCTAGTACACGTCGGTCGGAAGAAGTAGGTAGAAACATGAAGTAGGAAGGCGGATATAGTAGATTGGGTCCAGGTCCTCCCAGAGAATGACAAAGCACAGCAAAAGCATGTCGATTCTTGAAGTAGGAACGCGCTTGAAGTAGATTGGGATCTGGGAATCCAAAAATACCAACTTTCAACGACCGGCGTGTATTCGATCATCCTCCTCCGTCGACCATGCAAAGCCATCATTTGCCCTCCAGTCTTCCGCCATTGCCCTCCCAGCACGCTCCTCGATACTGCCGAAACGCTCGTCCAGAAGAGCTGACACGTCCTCCAACGACATCGAGGGCTTCAACTTGTACGACTTCACCTGGATGTGAATGCTGGAAGAGGGCAAACGGAAAGGATGGAACTCCCACAGAGACTGATAGAAGACAGGGACGCGGAGCAGGCAAGATGTGGGCGAGGGGCACCACCCCTCGCAGCAGGAGCGCACCTGCCCATTGGCCCACTGCACTAAGGCCCCTGGAGATCGGACACCCAGAACACAGTGCTGCCCGACTGCCGCCGCCGAGCAAGCGAACCATGCCGCGCACTCCGAGACAGAACGCCGACGCCGGGAGCCGCTGCGCGGCCCCAGTGCGACAGGGCGAACTATCGTTTTCGCTTCGGCGCCGCGCGCAGTTTTCTCAAAGTTGCGCTCCCAGCCTCGTAGATGCTCCTGGGGCCTCCTGAGGTATCCTGGGGATTCCTGGGGGTCCCGCGGCTTCCTGACACCTCTTAGGGCTTCCTAGAGCCTCCTAGAACCTCCTGGGGCTTCCTGGGCCCTCCTGAAGCTCCTGGGGCTTCCTGGAGTTCGCTGGGGCTTCCTGCAACCTCATGAAGCCTCCTGGGGACTCTTGGGGCCTTCTGGGGCATCCTGAGGCTTCCTGGAGCCTCCTCGGCTCGTGCTGAAATGCCAGCGCAGTCTCTGAGACGCGCCAGGAATCCCACCAACCCTCTGGGCGCAGGTGGTCCAGGGCGTTTCCTTTTCCTACCTCATTCCCTTCCCTGCTCGGGAGGTTTATCTCCCCCCCCCTCCCTGCGTCTGGACGGGCTCTCCCGCGAGGTGTCAGAGAGCCCTTTTCGGCCCAAGATGGCTCCAAGAGGGCCTCAGAAAGCGCAAGATGGCCTCCAAGATGGCCCAAGATAGCAGTAGATGGGTCAAGATAGCCTCCGACACACGTCCAAGAGGCCTCAAGACGGCCCCAAGACGGTTTCAAGTGCTGTCCGAGGCCTCCGAGGACCCCCCAAGAGGCCACAATCCTTCAAAAACTAAAGGAAAATCCATGTGGTTTGCCTTCTCGTTTTTTCACCTCCGATTGGCTCTCGAGGCCTCAAGATGGCCCCAAGACGGTCCAAGATAGCCCCAAGAGGGGTCAAAAAGGGTCCCACGACGGCCCCAAGAGCGGCCAAGAGCGCTCCAAGAGCGGGCCAAGAGGGCCCCAGGACGGCACTCGTGAGCCTCCGATGGGGGGGTCCGAATCAAGGATCCCCCTCTTTTTTAGCGAAAGGGTCCAAGACGGCCCCAAGAGGCCCCTCAGCCATCCCAACAGAGCCCCAAGAAGGCACCCAGACCCCCCAAAAGAGCCCCAAGAGCAACCCAAGAGAACACCAGGAGAGCCCCACGAGGGCCCCAAGACGCCCCAAAAGAGCCCCAAGAAGGCTCCAAGAAGGCCCTAAGAGGACCTCAAGAGCGCCCCAAGAAAGAGCCCCAGGAGGGCCCCAAGAGAACCCCAAGAGAGCCCCAAGATGGCTCCAAGCTTCGAAACGCACGCGAGCTTAAGATACAAATCAGTGCAACAGCCATTACGAGTCATCGAAACACCCCTCACCCCTCATCGACGCACCATCGTAGCGTGCACCGATGTCCAGATTAAACTTCAATGCGGGAAACTAGTTGTGATCCTTGCTTTCCCGAAGACGGCTGCACGACTGCATGCGTCCTGCCGCCCCTGATTCACCAACTCCCCTGCTGATCGCTTCTGGATGGGCTGGTGGGGATACTTTTTCGGTCGCGTCCGCCAGCGAGAGCGCAAGCGGAGTCAGAAGCGTTCTGGGACACGGAAGCGGCCTAATTAGCTACTAAACGCGCCGAAACTGGTGGGGGATACGCAAAGCGTCAAGAATTTCCCATCGGTAACCGCCATCGCGGCTGCATCAGCTGTGGCAAACCACCTTGCGCCAGCACTGCTTCTTATGTTGTGGGAGAGCGGGTGGGAATTGGCACGCCATGCTTGACTCCTACTCCTACTCCTGCTCCTAATCCTATTCCGATTCCTACTCCCGCTCAGTCCTCGTCCAGCTCCTCCTGATTGCCCCTCCTTATTTTCATCCCCCCCCCCCTCCTCCTCCTCGCTCCTCCTCTGTCTCATCCTCCTCCTCCACCTCCTCCTTCCTCCTTCCTCCTCCTCCTCCTCCTCCTCCTCCTCCCCCCCCTCCTCCTCCTCTCCTCCTCCTCCTCCTCCTCCTCCTCCTCCCCCTCCTCCTCCTCCTCCTCCTCCTCCTCCTCCTCCTCCTCCTCCCCCTCCTCCTCCTCCTCTCCTCCACCTCCTCCTCCTCCTCCTCCTCCTCCTCCTCGTCCTCCTCCTCGTCCTCCTCCTCCTCCTCCTCCTCCTCCTCCTCCTCCTCCTCCTCCTCCTCCTCGTCCTCCTCCTCGTCCTCCTCCTTCTCCTCCGCTTCCTCCTCCTCCGCCTCCTCCTACTCGCTCTTGCTCGCTTCTCGCTGGTCCTCGGCGTTCCTCGCTCCTCCGCGCGGCGCGGGCGCCATGGACTGCACCAGGATGGTGAAGGCGCCCGGGCACTTCTGGCCGAGCTCCTCGATGGCGGAGGGCAGCAGCACCGAGCACACCGCGTAGGTCCTGGCGACGATCCAGGCCGCGCGCGGCTTGCCCGTGAGCACGCCTCGGGGGGGCCGCCCAGGGGGACGGGAGAAGGGGAGGGGAGACCCTCCTGGAACCTTCCTGAGGAAGGCTTCTGCTTCTGGAAGAAACCTCCAAACACCCTCTAGGAGGAAGGCTTTGTGGTAGGCTCCCTGGAGGAATCCTCCAAAAACCTACCGAAAACCTCCCCGAGGAACGTGTGTGGAAGGTTTCCTCCAGGAGACCCTCCCGAAACCTTCCTGGGGACTTCTACTGGAGCGGCGAAGAGCGGCGCCGACGTGTCGCCTGGCGTCCCGTGCAGCGGGCGCGGTGTACTGGTCAGCGGGTGGGAGGGGGCGAGGGGCCCGCCTCCTCCGCCTCCTCCCTCCCCTTCCTCCTCCTCCTCCTCCTCCTCCTCCTCCTCCTCCTCCTCCTCCGCCTCCTCCTTCGCCCAGACTTAGGTCGGGCATGTCCTCCTACAAGTGGAGTTTGGAGGGGGATAAAAGTACCCGACAAATACTCAAACATGCTGGACAAAGATTCGAGAAATCGTCCCCGGACTATGTTTTACTATTTTGGAATATTCCTGCTGGAGAGGGACACGCCCGACTTGAGCCCAGAGCTCATCGGGTCATAGAAAAAACGCGACGTGAGGTTTCTAGCTATTGTGAGGTCGGGCGCGTCCTCCTACAGGCGGATGTCGGAAGAAACATAACACATCAAAACATAATTCTGTAAAACATAACCTGAAGAGGCACGACCAATCGTCACATGACGATTTGTTCTACTATCCTTGAATGTGCCTCCCGTAGAGGGACATGCCCAACTCAAAACTATGTTCTGCCTCGGTTGGGCGCGGATCAATGGGGGGCGATACATGTGTGTGGGGGGGGGGGAGCAAGGTACCCTTTTCGGGCCCCACAGGACATCTCCTGGGCCCAAAAGGGCCCCTTCAGGTGCCCTGAAGGGCCCCTGTTCGGCAGCCCTCGCTGCCCCCCCATTCATCGCCCCTTCCTTACGCGCCCTCCAGCTCTGGGGTCCCTCCCGGGGCCCCCGGACCGTCAAGAAACGACTAAGGACGAAAAACCGGTCCCGGGGAATGGGTCGAGACCCCTGTAGAGGAAGAAAAACGCTATAAGCATAAACTGTTGGCGCTACGCGCGGATTTCTTGGATCTGCGCTGGGCCCCCCCACCCTTGGCGGCGCCTCCAGCGCCGCCCCTGGCGCACTCCGCGCGCCAGGAAGGGGGGTCCAGCGTAACTGTTGCAAGCGTTTAAACCGAAAGTGCGCGGCTGTAAGGGGACAGCCCCATCTAGGCAGCGACCAGCCCTCTCCTTTACCAGCGGAAATTGTTTGAGCGCCAGGTCAAAACCCCTTCCCCACCGGGGATTCTGGGAGGCCCCCAAAAACCCAAAGCATGCAAGGAATGCCCTTGGAGGCCTCCAAGACGGTCCAGGAGAAGAGCCGCGAATCGCCGAATTATCCGGCCCATACATGGCCCCCAGACGGTCCAAGACACCTCCCAGACGCTCCACCAGGCCTCCAAGAGTATTCCGAAAAGGGCCCTGGGAGGTCAAAATTAGGTCGGGCATATCCTCCTACAGGCGGATTTGGAAGGACAAATAAGAATTACTTGAAAAGTATTCAATCATAGTTGAAACATAATCGAAACATTATCCCCAGACTTTTTTTTATTATTATTGAATTTTCCTCCTGTAGAGGGACGTCCCCGACTTAAGGTTAAAATCATAGATGCTCCGTTGCTTTTGAAAGACTATGGTGCCCTCGCCTTCCCGGCCTCCCGACGCTCCACGGCCCCAGAGGCCTCCACGATCGCCCCAAGATCGCCCAAAGATAGCTCCAGAAGTCTCCAAGAGGGCCTCGAATCGACCCAAGGGGGTCCCCAGACAACTCAAGAGGCCTCCAAGACAGCACTATAGACCTCCAAGGCGGCTCCCAGAGCGTGCCCACACAGGGGACTCGAAAGGAGCTTTGGAACCTTCGGCCCCAGGAGCCTCCCAGGAGGCCCCAAGAGGTCCCAAGAGGCCCCGCAAAGGGCCCTAGAGGCCCCCGAAGGCCCCCAGCAGGCTCCCCGCCCTCCTCGCATACAAGGTCGGCGGCATCGGCCGCAAGGCCTTCACAATAGTCAGTTGTAAGAAAGTCTCCAGCGAAACGGCCGGCCCAGCCTACGGACACGTCTGGTGCCGCAAGAAGGAAATTATCCTGGCGAAGGACCCGACCATATGCAGTTGTGGGCACCGCAAGTGTTAATATTTTCTCCAGTGAAGCTCCCGATGGGGCCACGAAGCGCTGCACTGGGTGGGGGGAACGCATGCGGGCGGTAGCACTGGGGCCGTCGGTGGAGTTCCCTATGGGGCCACGAAACGCTGCACTGGGTGGGTGAAAATGCCAAATTGGGCTTCCGGGACGCATGCGGACGGTCCTACTGGGGCTTCGGTGGAGCTCCCTATGGGGCCACGAAGCGCTGTGCTGGGTGGGTGAAAATGCAAAATGGGGCTTCCGGGACGCATGCGGACGGTCCCAGTGGGGGCTTCGGTGAACCTCCTAGATGGGGCCACGAGACGCTATACTGGGCATGAAAAAATGTCAAATTGCGTGTGCGGACGCATGCGGGCGGTCCCTCTGGGGGCTTCGGTGGAGCTCCCCATGGGGCCACGAAACGCTGCACTGGGTTGGTGAAAATGCCAAATTGGACGTGCGGGACGCATGCGGACGGTCCCACTGGCGACGAAACGCTGTGCTTGGTGTGGCGGACGCATGTAACCACCCCTACTGGGGCCTCCGATGGAGCTCCCTATGGGGCCACGGAACGCTGTAGTGGGCGTGGCAAACGCATGTCTCTACTCCCAGTGGGGCCTTACGTGGAGCTCCCCATGGGGCAACGAAATGCTGCACTGGGTGTGGCAGACGCATGTGGTACCCCCCCCCCCTCTGGGGCCTTCGGTGGGGCTACATATGGGGCCACGAAACGCTGCACCGGGTGTGGCACACGCATGTGGTACCCCCCCCCTGGACCTTACGTGGAGCTCTCTATGGGGCCACGAAACGCTGTACTGGGCGTGGCAGACACATGTGGTACCCCCCCCTGAGGCCTTCGGTGGGGCTACCTATGGGGCCACGAAACGCTGTTCTGGGTGTGGCAGACGCACGTGGTAACCCCCCCCCTGGGGCCTTCAGTGGAGCTCCCTATTGGGCCACGAAACGCTGTACTGGGTGTGGCAGACGCATGTGGTACCCCCCCCTCTGGCGCCTTACGTGGGGCTCCCTATGGGGCCACGAAACGCCGTACTGGGTGTGGCAGACGCATGTGGTACCCCCCCCATATGAGGCCACTAAACGCTGAACTGAGTGTGGCAGACGCATGTGGTTACTCTCCCCTGGGGCCTTACGTGGAACTCCCTATGGGGCCACGAAAAGCTGTACTGGGTGTGTCAGACGCACGTGGTACCACCCCTGGGGCCTTACGTGGAACTCCCTATGGGGCCACAAAAAGCTGTACTGGGTGTGGCTGGGGCTCCCTATGGGGCCACGAAACGCCGTACTGGGTGGGTGAAACGCATGGAGGAGGGAGGAGGGGGAGGAGGGAGAAGGGGAAGGAGGAGGAGGAGGCGGAGGAGGAGGAGTGAGTGAGTGAGTGAGTGAGTGAGTGAGTGAGTGAGTGAGTGAGTGAGTGAGTGAGTGAGTGAGTGAGTGAGTAAATGAGTGAGTGAGTGAGTGAGTGAGTGAGTGAGTGAGTGAGTGAGTGAGTGAGTGGGACGCGGGGGGCTGTCTCTTCAAAACGAGGACCCAACACCACAGGATGGTTGGGAAAAACATCGGCGGGGAAAAGGTACAGAGGAGGAGGAGGAGGAGGAGGAGAGGAGGAGAGGAGGAGAGGAGGAGGAGGAGGAGGAGGAGGGAGGGAGGAGGAGGAGAGGGGAGAGGAGGAGGGAGGAGGAGAGGAGGACGAGAACGAGGAGAGAGGAGGAGAGGAGGAGGAAGAGAGGAGGAGGAGGAGAGGAGAGGAGAGTGGAAAGAGGAGGGGAGAGGAGGAGAGGGAGGAGGAAGAGAGGAGGCGGAGGAGGAGAAGGAGGAAGGAGGAGGAGAGGAGGAGGTGGGAGGAGGAGGAGCAACAGGAGGAGACAGGAGGAGGGGAAAGCAGCGGGGGGCAAGTGGCCGAGGAAGGCCAGGGGCGGGGCGAAGGACAACGGCGGGGCGCCCGCGCGCCTAGCTCCCCGAAGTAGTTCCCCGCCACGTAGGTGGCCACCTGCCGTAACACGTGGGCGGCCGCCCCGCGCCGGTGACCGGGGAGGGGCGGGCACCAGAGCCTGGGGTAGAAGGATTCGGCCCCTGAATGGGGCTTCGCACTCCCCTTCCCGTCTTGCTTGTAGCATTTTTCCTCTCAAGCGTTTGCGAGGGCGAAAGCAGGAGCCAGGGTCCCAACCCCCTGGCCACGAGAGAGGCAATCAGCAGCTTGCACTCGCTGTGCAAAAAATGCGGGGGCGCACGGCGCCCCGGCGCCCCGCCTCGGGGAGGGGGCACTGCGCTGCGGCAGTGGCACCAGCGGGGGCGGCAAGCGCTAGGCGCGACTCCTCCGTCCACCCCCCCCTCCCCCCCTCCTCCCTCCCGTGCTCTTTTTCACCCAGTGCGCCAGCGATCGTCACTGTGAAGATCATACGTGGCGTCATGAACTGCTGCAGGTGTGGCGCAGGTGCTACTGTGAATGAACAAAGTCTGAGGCTGCGTTGCAAGGCTCTGATGATACCCACGAAAGCAGGCAAGGAGGTCTTGACCCATTTGTCTTCGGGCCTGCCCCACAAAAGCGGGGGAGAATTCCCCCATATGTAAACAGCGAAGCGTGCCCAAGCTTGACCTGGTCTCCACGAATTGTTCTTCTTGTATCCCTCCTCCCTTCTCCTCCTCCTCCTCCCCCTCCTCCTCCTCCTCCTCCTCTTCCCTTTCTCCTCCTCCACCTCCCCCTCCACTTCTTACGACTAGTATTGTCATTCGTCTGATGACTACTGTTATCTGTTATCATTGTTATGATACGTGGTATCAGTATTGCTGTTGATATTGTTGTTACGATTATCAATACTGGTGTTACTACATCAGCTCTACCAGAATTTCGTCATGAATTGGCATGTCATCATCTTGCGTTGGTAGGGCCAACTCCCGCCCGGTGGGATTTCTAAAACCGTGTTTTTGTTTTTACGTCGGGATGTTTAAGCTATCCCGCTATATATCCGCCGATCCAGCATGTGAATTTGAAAAAGCCTCAGCTACAGCCTACAGCCTACAGCCTGAGCTTCAGCTCTGCTGGGGGGGGCCAGGGGGGCTCTGCCGGGAAGGGGGGGAGGGGGGGGGACGAGTTGTGCTCCGTTTTCCGGGGGGACTCCTAGGGCTTGTCGCGGCTACCAGCGTGTCTCTGGGGAGGGCATTTTTTGACACCACTCACGAGGATCGTGGCCTCTGAGGGGGTCCCGAGCTCGAGTACCCCCCCTCCCGCCCAAAGAAGCTCCCAAGAGGCCCCCAAGAGGCCCCCAAGAGGCCCCCAAGAGGCCCCAAGAAGCTCCCAAGAGGCCCCCAAAAAGCTCCAAGAGGCCCCAACGAGGCCCCCAAGAGGCCCCAAAGTGGCCCCAAGAAGCCCCGCAACTGCCCAAGAGGCTCGGGGGGGCCTCAAAACTGCCTCCCAGAGGCCCCAAAGAGGCCAACCACGAGATCCCAACCAACATCCATGAGGCCTCTGACCCACCACCCAGGCACGGTGGCGGGATAGGCCGAAGGCCACTAGAGAAATGCAGAGGGAGAAGGGGAGGGAGGGAAGAAGAGAGGAGGGACGAGGGCGAAGGAGGATCACATCAGACGTAGCGCCCCGCATCGGCGGCACTGGCCGGAGGCCACTACAGTATAGATATACATATATACATAGATATATATATATATATATATATATGACCATAGAACTGAAACATCCCCGATTTAGGACTCCCGGATCTTGGATCCGACCGCTCTTGACCCAGCCCGTTAGGATTCTAGGGGGAAAGGGGGGCAGCTTGGCACGGTCGGGACAGGGGTCAACCTTCGCCCGCCCGCTGGCGCGGAAGTAACGGACGAAACCTGCTTCATCTTGACACCCCCCATGGAACATGACGAACTTCTGCAACGGCGTAGTAGCATTATTAATGTTACTGTTAGTGTTCGTGTTCTTCGTATGATTATTGATATTGGTCTTGGTCATAGGTGTACTATGATTACGTGATGCTGAATGTTTCTAGTAGTATGAGTAACATGATTACTCATACTATTCGTATACTTGTCTTTCGCATTACGCGCTTCCCCTCCTCCGCATTGGTTTTCAGGCCAGGGCGGTCGAAGTCCCAGTGGGACGATGGTGCGATAGAGCAGGGCGGAGAGGGAGTGGCGGAAGCGCAGCAGCGGCGCCGGCACCATTAACGTTCACATACATATATATATATATATATATAACCATGTGTATATATATATATGTATATACACAGATGTGTAAATATATGTGTGTATGTGTATGCATGTTTGGAAGCATATATGTGTAGTCCAGTTGTATGTAGATGTAAGAGGTATATACGATCATTTGTAACAACGTATCTACATATATATATATATATATATATATGTATATATATGTGTGTGTACTTACTCATGTATAAAGGTATGTGTGTAGGTATACCCCTGTTTGAAACACGCTGCTCTGCCCTTTCAGGCCTGGCGCAAGCCGCACAGAATGCAGCAAACACTGCCCTTCCCAGAGCTAGGTCTCCTCCTCCTCCTCCTGCTCCTCATCCTCCTCCTCCGAGGAGGAAGAGGAATAAGAAGAAGAATCAAAAGAGGAGGAAGAAGAATACGACAAATAAGGATAATGAGACGAGGAAGAAGAATGATAAGAAGAAGAAGAGATGGAGCGAGAGGGAACTGAGTGAACCGAAGTCCGTGACGAACGCCGTCGGCAGCACCCTCAGAAGCGGGGCCTGACCAGAAGGGGTTGGCGGTACCTCCGAGACGAATCCGCTGCACTCGAGGAAGGAGATAGGAGGAGGAGGAGGAGGAGGAGGAGGAGGAGGAGGAGTTGGAGGAGGAGGATGAAGAAGACGGCTCCACCCTCATCATCAGCAGCATTATCAGCATCATCCCTAAACCACATCGCCATCACCATCACCCTTACCATCACCATCATCACCACCACCACCATCATCATCCGAATCATCATCAGCATCATCAGCAGCAGCATAAGCATCAGCATCAGCATCGTCAGCATCATCGTCATCAACAGCAGCAGCGTCATCTGCACCATCATCAACATCATCAGCATCATCAGCATCAGCATCATCATCAGCAGCAGCAGCACCAGCAACATCGGGCAAAGAAGGAGGGGGAGGACGGAGCAGGAGTGGGAGGGGGAAGGGCGAGGAGGCAAAACAGGGAGGAATGAGGAGGGCGAGGAGGGGGAGGAACGACCGTCTAGGCTGTTTTGTTCATCCGGACGGCCCGCAAAAGCACGCGCTGACGACGAAGCCAAACCACGTCGTACTGAGCACCGACGCCCCCAAGGCTACCTGGCCAGCCACGCCGAGACGGTGCATGCCTCCGCAGAGGCGACTGGGGAACACTTCTCTGACCGAAGGCCGTGCTACGGCCGGACCCTAAGACAGAATAACATTCTTCGAGAGCGTGAGACCCTCCGCCGGCCAAAACCGAAGAGAACACTCGAGGGCACCCTCCCCCGGGAGATGCACAAGTGCACCCGAGGGGCACAAGAGATGCACCCTCCCCCAAAACCGAAGAGAACACTCGAGGGGCAGTTGCCCTTCCCGAGCCGACCTCGATCTGATTCCTCGGTCCGACCATGCACCCAACAATGCAGGACCCCCCCGAGGGTGGGGAGGAAGGCGAGGCGAGGCGAGGCGAGGCGCTGGTCGTCCCGGGGGACGGCCCTGCGAGCGCAGGGCCGTGGCGCCAGAGCGCCGAACAGTCGCTGCCACGCGAGGGGGGAGAGCAGAGGCCTCCCGGATGGGATCCGAATGGGCTCGAAAGATGGCGCCGCATCGCCAATGCATCGACGATCGGCGTTGGACAAACCTCCCTTTAGTAGACCTCCCCTTAGTGAAAACGGCCTGGGACCGAAACCGACGGACTCGGACCCGCAAAAATGACGGCCGCGACGCCCTCTCGCGAACCGAAAACGGCCAATTCACTAATCGACGTGTCAGGGTAGGAGGTCTATCCTCCCCCGAGACGATGTAGCGGCGATGCATCGGCGATGCATCGGCGACGTCGGCGATGCATCGGCGACGTCGGCGTGGGGAAACGCGGTCTCCACATCGAGCCGCATCGTCGATGCATCGTCCATGCGGCGCGATTATCCGACCCCATCTACGCCGACCCCATCTAGGAGGCCTAGAACGAAGGAGGGGTGGACTCAGGCCGTGGTCTGTGAGTTTCGCGCACAGTCCCCAGCAGTGACATGTGCCAGAAATCTCCGCTCCAATGCCGGCCATGCTTCCTTGTCCGTCGCGATGTGTATCCGTCCTTTGTGGTCGTCGTCGCCGTCGGAGGAAAGATGAAGGACGAGGAGGAGGAAAGGAGGAAAAAGGAAGGAAGAGGAAAGAGGGCGGCCACGACGCGGACACGTCTCCCCAAATGGGGAAACCAAAAGGTACTGATACCGCCACTCCGCGGACCTCTCCCGGGGCGCGTTCTGACCAGGATTTCGAGGCGAATCCAGCGGTGGCGACGAGGGCCTCACAGGAGGCCCAAAAAGGGAAAAGCGGGCGAAGGGTAGCAGTATGGGTACCTTTTCCTCCGCTGGCCAATGGAGAGGAAAGAGGAATGAGGGGGGAATGAGGAATGAGGAACGAGGAGGAGGAGGAGGAGGAGGAGGAGGAGGAAAGAGGAAGGACGAAGAGGAGAGGCGAGACGAGGCGAGGCGCCGGTCTGTCGTCCCGGGGGACGGCCCTACGAGAGCCCGGCGGGCGCGCCGGAGCGCCGAGAAGAGAAAAAAAAAAAAAAAAAAAAAACGAGGAGGAGGAAGAAGGAAGGATGAGGGAGGAGGATGAGGGAGGAGGGAAGGACGAGGGAGGAGGAGGAGGAGGAGGAAGGACGAGGGAGGAGAGTAGGAAGGACGAGGAGAGGAGGAGGAGGAGGAGGAGGAGGAGGAAGGACGAGGGAGGCCACGACGACGCGGACGCCTCCCCGAGCGAGGACGGCCGCGCCCCGCCTCCTCGTCGCGCCCCAGCACCGGGGGCTGCGTGCCCACGAAGACGCCGGCCTTGCCGCGGAACATGAAGAAGAGCTCGCGCCCCTTGTCGCCTGCCGGCGGCCCGGACGCTGATGTTGGGAGACGTACTCCTCCTCCTCCTCCTCCTCCTCCTCCTCCTATCCTCTCCTCCTCCTCCTCCTCCTCCTCCTCCTCCTCCTCCTCCTCCTCCTCCGCCTCCTCCTCCTAGCCGCCGTCCCGGCTCGAGGGGCCCTGGGAGGCTACCAGGTAGCCGAGCCCCTCACCTCCGGGACTGCTGCTATACGCGCCACTTGCTCGCAGCCGCCATTGTGCTGCCCCGTGGCCGTGCTGGCCGCCATCGCCACGCAGGCAGGGCCGCTGAGCCTGCGTGGCACAGGCGTGCCCGAGCGGTCCGCTCACGTGTTCGTGTCCTCCTCCGCTTGGAGGCGGCACGACGTCTTCTACAACGACATCACAGTCGCCAGCAGGGCCGACTCGCCGACATGACCAAGGCAGCGCTGTCCGTCTCATGGGCGCCGCCTTCCTCTCCCTGGCCCTGTGCTACCTGTTCCTGCAAGAACTGGCACGAGCGTGTGGACTGTCGCCAGTGTGGAACGCCCAAGCCCGATGCCCCGCCATGGCGCCGCCAGCCGAGGCGATCTGGCAGTGCCCCCCCGTCGCAGGAAGGATCGCGGGGCAAGGGCAAGGGCAGAGGCAGGGACAGGTCTGCTGGCAAGCCTCATGCACTACGAGACTCGCCGCCGACAGCCGCGGGAGGTCCTGCCAAGGACAGGGACAAGGACGACGACGACGACAAGGCCTCCGACGAGTACCGCTCGGCGAAGGATATCCTGCACATCCGTCCTGCGTTGCCACAGGTGGCGCGCGGACATCCCAGGTGGAGGGCGCCACCTGGACCGCAGGCGACGGACGCCGAGGTCGAGAACTACAAGGAGAAGGCCTCAGCCAGACTGGAGGCCCTGAATGCGATCATCCTCGACCGCTACGACGCGGACGAGGACTACGACGATGCGGTGCTCGAGTTTGCGACCACGCTCACAATGTTGTTCTGTGCAAGAGGAGTGAAGGCCCAGCTGCAGAAGCAGGAGGAGGCCTTCGAGCGTGCCGAGAAGCGCCTGCAGAAGGCGAACGACGTGCTGGAAGACCTGCAGACACAGGTGAAGCAGGCCAACATGGACGTCGACCTGGCCAAGCGCGACCTCGAGCACATGACCAAGACGATTGCCGAGCTGAAGATGCTGATCCAATCCGAGAACGAGGCTGCCAAGGAGGCTGCCAAGAGGGCTGCCGAGCCAGCTCCTGCAGCGACGCCTCCTGCAGGAGCGGCGCCCGCGGGTACAGCTGGAGGTGTGGCTGGTGCAGCCGCAGCTGGCGTGCCCATGTCCACGATTGGAGCGTTGGCTGCACACCAGACGCAGATCTCGGCGATGATGGCCCAGCTGCAAGGCTTCCAGTCTCTCATCCACCAGATGCAGTTGTCTGCTGGAGGAGGCCAGAACATCCCAGTGCCGACCGCCCACGTGACCTTCTCTACTGGTCCGACTGGGGCTCCAGAGGCGGCGGCCAGGACGCCGGCAACATCCCCTGTGGACGGCGTGGGAGGAGCGCCAGGTGCACACGGGCAGCAGCCTGGGCCGCCTGGCCGCACAGTTGCCGAGGCTGCGGGAGTGGATGCAGCGCGTGCGGCTCCAGCAGCGCCTGCCACCGAGGAGCCCGCGGCAGGAGAGGGACGCGCGGAGGCTGGCTCGCGCTCGCCGAGGCGCTCGCCCAGTCGTGCAGCCAGCCGTGGGAGAGCTGCCCATCGCTCTCAGTCACGCTCGGCTCCTCGTGGTGTGGCGTCGGGAAACGCCTAGCGGCCGCTGCTCGCCGAGCGGGCCTCCGTCGGGCTGAGCTTTCGCCCGATGAGAGAGGCCCCTCTGACCAGCGGCCGCCCACGAGCAGCCGTGATTTTCCTTTTCATTATGTGCCTGCTGCTGTCAAGCAGCTTCTCCAGCCCTGGCCTTTTTCAGTGCATCAGCTCTGTGAAGAGGCTTTGTCAGCCTACTTGCATCCTGCCACTTCCGCGGCGCTGCAGCAGCATGTGCCGTTCCCCCCCCTCCTTCCCCCCACCCGTGTCTTCGTCTATACCGATGGCACTGGAGGAGCCGATGGATCTGACATACCGTTTGTTCCTGCGTCGGCTGCGGTGATTATCTATGAGTATTTTGACGGTTCCAGGGCCCTTCGAAGATATATTTCTGATCTGGTCCCAGAAGATGTGATGGATCTCTTCCCGTCTTCCTACCACTCTGACACTGCTGAGATTCTTGCTGCTGCATGGGCATTGGCATGGGTTGCCCAGGCGAACCTGGGGTCAGTACCAGTTGTACTCCGACTCGACTCTATGCGAACGCTCGGAGTTTTGATGGGCACCCAAACCATTGAGGTCACTAACTCTGGATTAATGTTTCTCCGGTCCCTGGTCCAGTTTCTGGCTACTACTTGTACCATCCAGGGACAACATGTTCGCAGCCACCAAGGGGAAGGACATAATGAGCTTGCAGATACTCTGGCGCGTCTCACAGGTATGGGACTGTTGCCAGGCATGGAGTATATGCCCTTTGCATCCCTGCTCTTTGACTCCTCTGCTCTGGCCTGGGCTTGGATGTATTCCGACCGCTCCGCGGACCTCCCGAACATCATAAATACTAACTCCTTGAGGGTCGGTGAAGTGCTCTCGGAGGGTTTCCAGGTCCAGGAGGTTATCGGGGTCCAGACCATCCTAGATGAAGCCCCCTCGAACAAGATAGAGCAATACAAGTTTGGGGTTGCTAATGTCTTGACGCTTCAGGGGAACAGCAAGTATAAAGGGGCCCAGCGGAGAGCCCCCCAAGGGGCTCGCTTCTTGAAGGTTATCGGCCTGAATGCCCCTGGGAGAATCACTGCCCTTGCTCGTCAGTTTTCTGCTGCCAAATATCACTTCCTGGGGGTCCTAGAGACGCGACTACAAACGGCGTTGCCTAAGAGGGTCGGGGACTACATGATGTACTACTCCAAGTGTGCTGAGAATGGCGCTGATGGAGTTGCTATCTGGATTAACTGTGAGTTGCCAGTGAAAGGTATTAACCCCAGCCGACATCATGTGGCCCAGCTCTATGCTGATACGAGTCGGCTCTTATTGCGTTTTCATGTGCCTGGCCTGCATCTATTGCTTGTTGCTGCACACGCCCCACATTGTGCTCGCAAGGATGTTTGCTTAGTTGAGAGGTGGTGGATTGAGACGCAGAGGCTAGTAAGCCAGTATCTAGTACCAGGAGTGCAGCCCGTATTCATGTTGGATGCTAACGCTGAAGTTGGCTCCTACTGTTCGGCACAGATTGGGGATGTTGAGGCTGTGGAGGAGAACTTCTCGGGTAAGTGTATGCGAAGCTTGTGCCATAGGTTTCAAGTTGTCGCTCCCTCTACCTTCCTTCCTGCCCCGATCGACGACACACACACAATACACATGTACACACTGATGGTAAGACCTGTAAGAGATTGGACTATATTTTACTTCCTCAAGAATGGTTTTCGCTTGTGTCATGTGCAAGGGTTGATCGAGTGGTCGACCTCGCCAACGCTGTGGAGGACCACAGCCCTACCTTCGTCGAAGTTGGTGTCCCGTCGGGCTCTCTCGCGCAGTCTCAGCACAGGTGGCCGCTGCTGCGAGTTCAGCCAGAGCGTCTCCGTGATCCAGAGATCCGCGAGGCATTTGCTCGGCATGTGGCTCAGTTTCAAGCGCCTGACTGGAATGAATCAGCAACGGCGCATTGTGCACGCGTGGATGCCCACCTCGTCGCCTTTGCCAAGGAACACCTGATCCCCGAGGACCCCCACCGGCAGGACTGGGTCAGTGAAAGGACCCTCGAACTCATAGAGTTGCGTAAGTATCTTCGTGCCCTCCACCGTGGTTGGAAACGAAAGGCTCCAAAGGTCCTCCTGCAGGTTGTCTTCCATACGTGGGCTTCTATGGGACACCTTGGGCACACGGGGATATGGGGACGTCTTAGGATCCGCAGTGGGTCCAATCAAATTAATGGTCTACGATTCCGACAACAACTCTGGAGGCTCTTAGAGGAATACCATGAACATCTTCGGGTGCTTCAAAGGGCTGCCAGGTGCCACCTACCTGAAGGACAGCGCTTTGCTAGAATACCTGATTGGGAATTTCTGATGACAATGTGTATTTCTCTGGCTCGCCTCCCCGTGGTCAACAGTGACTTACCGTGTCCTCGGGAGCAGCTGAGCTTGTATAGACGCTGGTGTGGGCTGATGAAGGCCATGTCCAGCAACGTTACCTTTCTGACTTCGAGGCTCATCAGCTGGTCGTGTGACATGGACAGAGCCGACAAGATGGAGCAGGTGTCTAGGGATGTCTCTAGCTCGTTTCTTCAGAAGGAGTTCAGGAAGGCGTTCGGGCAACTCAGATCCTTGGGCATAGGTTCTACAAAGAAGAGGCCCGCTAGTCAGTCAGCTCAGGTCCTCCTGAAGGATGAAACGCCAGCCCTGACGCCCACGGCCTGCCGTGAGCGATGGTTGGAACACTTTGCTGAACAGGAGCTTGGCTTTCGGATACCCGCGCACGAGTTGCTGCAGTTTGTTGGAGAATCACGCGCGCCGCTTGCTTCACTGGACCTGTTTGCGGCACAGAGTTTACCGACACTCGCCATGTTTGAACAGCAGATGCTGAAGACCTCCAGCGCCTGTGCCAATGGTCTCGATTGCGTCCCAGGGGCTCTACTCAAAACATGTGCGAAGGAATGTGCACGACTCTACTTCCCCCTTGTGATGAAGTATATGCTATGCCTACATGAACCACTACAATGGAAAAGCTCGAGGTTAGCTGACTTGTACAAGGGTCGAGGTGCGCCCAACAAGTGTGTTTCCAGCAGGTCTGTGGCCATCGGTCCGCAGGTAGGCAAGCGTGCTCATGCCCTTGTTGCTGGACGTCTTCAGCCTTTTCTAGATGATTTTGCCCCTGAGTCACAGTGTGGAGGTATCAGAGGACGCGGCACGGACTTTGCCGTGCACATGGTTCGATTGATGCAGGAGGACTCGCGTATCCGATCGGAGTCGATGTCGACGCTTTTTGTGGACCTGGAGGCCGCTTTTCATCATGCTATTCGTGAAATTCTCATTCGATTCGAGGGGGAGGATACGATATCTGATGAGCGTATTGCTCAGCTGCTGCATGCCTCTGGTCTCCCGCCATCTTCCATGGATCTCCTGGCCGCCGAACTTGCACGGCCGCCATTAGTTGAGGAGCTGGAGGTTCCTGCCCATTTGCAGCGCGGTTTATCTGAGACGCTCACGGGTACCT